CAACCTTTGGCAGCATTGGCTAATCATTTCCCAGCGCTCCCAGCCTATTCTTGCCATCCAAGGTTGGATATCTTTAAACTGTAGTGATTATGGTGCTTAAAATGTCCCTTTAAGAGTTCCAACCAAAACATTTGAATTTGATGTGTATACAAGTTTACAGACTCCAATATCAGACTGTATTACTTCAGTACATGTATGATGTGCATAACAAATGAAGTTTGAATATGTAACGTGCTCTACAAAGCGTAAATTTCAGACCTATTTCACTTTCAGCGGTACCTTGTCCTCGTATATTGATTAGCTGCCTGTGTCTGACATTGACCTGCCTTTCTTGATCTTTAGTGCAGAACTGGGACCTCTTTGGAATATACTGTTCCTCTTTACCTTACTGAAACACTTACTGGGTGAGTATTTCAACAGAGGTAAGTAAAGCGTGCACTTACCTCCACTAATACGTTCTTTCTCAGCACAATACAATATATTATGTTACTGGAATAATTTGGCATCTGAAAGTTAAAACGCAACTTAGATAGCTCAGTTTGTAAATGTACCAATTGTAGTACTTATTAAGCGCTCTGAAATCTTTCAAGCTCTCAGAAATTAAAACCATTAATATTGAGTTAAGTTACAATAACATTTTAACCCGGGGCAAACTGGAGAGCCTTGCGTTGCGTTGTTCCTGTTAAACACTTGCAATATTATAATAAGAATATATTTTTTTTAATTTTGTTTAGTAAATTGGTTGGCATTTATGTTTTGCCAGATACTTTTCAAATTAAAACAATAACAGGATTTAACATATTAAAATCATCATATTCTTTGATATCCAGAATTCTTTGATGCAACTCCTTGTTTTTTATAATTAAGAAATTTGCCAGTGAATGAAGATCAATGTAATATATTAATCCTAAATTAACATCATTAAGAACATTCCTTTTTCAAAAATTTATATCCATAAACAGTAATCACCAAACATTTGTTATTGCCTCCATTTTACAAGTGCTTTGATGTTGATCATATAAATACCTAGAATGTAATATAATAAATATTACTACACTGAATTTTTTGATTAAATATTTCTATAAATGGTTCTCCAAAATTAAATTTTGCCTTCTTCACAATAATAACTTTACATTAAAGGGACACTCTAAGAACCATGACCACTGTAGTTCAGTGCAGTGGCAATGGTGCACAGAGGCTATGGATTTACACTTTGACTTGGGATTTCCCAGGACTCAAAGACCACCCTCGGCCACTTACACTATTAATGACAGTTCCATCTAATTTGGTTTGCAGTGATAGCTTGACAGTTTTGGGCTAACTGGCAAGCCTCTGAAGCGTCCCCTACAGGCGCATGCACACAGAACGTAGAAATAATGCTAATCTGAGGTTTAAGAAAAAGGTGTGCAGGGGGAGGCAGGCTGTTCAAGTAGAGCAAACCTGCTACTTCCGTTCGCTCATGGGAGCCAACAGAAACGGGAAGCAAACGTGCGAGGCTGAGTACAGATTTGTCATAGAAACAGGAAATTTTATAAAGTGCCCTTTAAATGGAATATTTACTTCACATGATGCATTTCAGCAAGCTAGAGAGCTTAAAGGGACACTATAGTCACCAGAACAACTACAGCTTATTGAATTTGTTCTGGTGAGTAGAATCATTACCTTCAGACCTTTTGCTGTAAACACTGTCTTTTCAGAGAAAATGCAGTGTTTACATTACAGCCTAGTGATAACTTCACTGGCCACTCCTCAGATGGCTGTTAGAGATCCTTCCTGGGTCATGGCTGCCTAAAATGCATCCAAACATTCCGTGTCTCCTCCCTCTGCATGCAGACACTGAACTTTCCTCATAGAGATTCATTGATTCAATTCATCTCTACGAGGAGATGCTGATTGGCCAGGGCTGTGTTTGAATCATGCTGGCTCTGCCCCTGATCTGCCTCTTTGTCAGTCTCAGCCAATCCTATGGGGAAGCATTGTGATTGGATCGGGCTACCACTTCTGATGATGTCAGCAGACTGCTTGTTTTTTTTTTTGTTTTTAGGCAAACAGCATGCAGATCTACAGCTTCTGGCTTGAATACAGTAAGATTTTGCTACATTTATGGAGGCATGAGGGGCCCAGGGGGGCTAGATGGTGGTTTGTCTTCCTGACCCTATAATGCTCTTTTAATGGACCTGGAGTGTTCCTTTAACTCTATAACAAAACCATAAACTAGATCCCAGAATCCTAACCCTATTTAACCCCCAAATACTATTATATTTACTATCATTCTATGCCAGCCCCTGCCTGATTGAGACCTTCTTTGCTCTATAAGTGTGCACTATCCTGGGCTGGTAAACTGGGGACAAATGGACGTCCAGCATTTGGAAGTTGACATTGTGATATAAGATACTGTGTTAATGTAATTTATCACAAGACAACTTAAATAAGAAACAAATGCTCTCTGCATCTCAAGCAGCCTTTTCTTCCAGTGCAATGACATTAACTAAGGGAATTGTTTGTATTTGAAACATGGCAGCTAAGTGTTTCTTAAAGGCTGTATTTATTGAATTATCTAAACAAGTTTCATGAGCTGCTATGTTGGATTTAAAATCCATTCTCTCAAACCGCAAGGATGGATTAGGGATCGCCCCCTTTAAAGGACCACTCTAGGCACCCATACCACTTCAGCTTAATGAAGTGGTCTGGGTGCCAGGTCCTTCTAGGGTTAACCCATTGTTTTATAAACATAGCAGTTTCAGAGAAACTGCTATGTTTATGAATGGGTTAAGCCTTCCCCCAAAGCCTCTAGAGGCTGTCTCATTGACAGCCACTAGAGGCGCTTGCGTGCTTCTCACTGTGATTTTCACAGTGAGAGCACGCCAGCGTCCATAGGAAAGCATTGTAAATGCTTTCCTATGCGACCGGCTGAATGCGCACGCGCGGCAAGAATGGGCGGAGAGGAGGAGGATCGGAGGCAGAGAGCTCCCTGCACAGCGCTGGAAAAAGGTAAGTTTTTACCCCTTTCCCCCTTCCAGAGCCGGGCGGGAGGGGCACCCTCAGGGCACTATAGTGCCAGGAAAACGAGTATGTTTTCCTGGCACTATAGTGGTCCTTTAAAGGATGTAAAGAACAACATTAATGCGTGAGTCAATAAAATGTAACCATCGCTTTGCAAGAAGGTTGTAATAGTAGTGATAGTTGAGTTCCCCTCATTAAAGAGGAATTTACATAATTGAATAAAACATTAAAAATCACTTATAGCGTTTGTTAACCTTTTTTCATGCTGTGCTCTATTTTCTTTCAAATGTTTATTGAAGATAGTGACACCATAACCCAGTTGAATCCTGGCACAGCCAGGGCACACATTGACATGGACGAGGGGGAACACAAACTAATTTCTCTGTGCGTTTTTCATGCTGACTGACAAAGTGCAAAGATCAGAGCTTCTAACAATGATTGTTGGTAGTAGATGGAGGCACTCACTTTCAGGATAGAATTAAATACTACGGTTTGGATATAGTAAAAAACAAAATTAAAAATCCTGAGAAGTGATGATTCCTCTTTAAGATTAAAGTACATAAACATTCTATTTTGGCCCATTTTTGTCCTGTATAGGCCATCTCCCATGGTTCTCCTCTCTGCCATGATCTGACGTAAATTTCTGCCCTATTTAGCAGCGATATCCGCTATTGTTTATTAGTTTCTGTTAATCTCTGTGTTTTGGGTGTAGGAGAGCCATCTCCCCATTTTAAAGCATTTTATGTATAATGCACTCAGCAGATGTTCCTCATCTGTGGCAGATTCCAAGGTACTTTTCAGAGCCACTGTTTTCAATCTTAATAATTCTCATTCAGTACTCGTCACCCACTGGTGAATATTGGGAGAGATCTTTATCACTATATATTCTCTTGTTTATGGGGAACATACAGTAATCATGTGGAATAGAGCTACTTGCAGCTTCTCATTAAAAGGACGCTCTAAGCCAGGGGTTCTCAACGTTAGTCCTCAGGACCCCCTACCAGTCCAGGGTTTAGGGAGTACCTGGGTGTGTCTAAGGTGTTTAGAAAAAGGAAAAAAAAAACACCTTAGAGTCTAAGGTGCTTTTTTTCCCTTTTTCTAAACACCTGAGACACACCCAGGTAATCCCCAAATCCTGGACTGGTAGGGGGTCCTGAGGACTGGGTTGAGAACCCCTGCTCTAAGCAATCAAACCAATATATCAAGGTGGTATAGTTATGTTGCCAATTGCCAGTGGGCGCCATCTCCCAGTTTAATGACCGGTAAGACGTTTTTTGACAAGATCTGGGGTTTTCCATGGCACCTGGAGAGTGCCCCTTTTCAGCTGCCTTATAAGTGTCTGTATCCTCGCACCTGGACAGCGGTGATTGGCAGAGAGTTCTAAGAGCAGTTTACATTCTTACCCTATCAGCGCTGTCCAGGTAAGAGGAAACCAACACGGATAATAAGAAGTTTAAATTAGACATTAATAATCGATCTGAGGAAGGGACAGTCTTTGGGTGATAGGGAAAACCATAGTTTCTTAATGGTGTGACATAAAACCTGAGATCTGCACGCAGAGGTATTACGCAACACCGAAATGTTGTGGTGATATTTCCTAGAATTCCCCTTTAATTATAAATAAATACAAAGTTAGAAAAATTTTATTTTTTGTTATTGTTTGCTATTGTTTCCATATGACGTTTCGCAGGCTAGAAAGGATTAACCTCTCAGGCACTGAAAGGGTTTCTGTTTTTCACGTGTATATAAAATAGTCTGATCTCACATGTAGCAAAAAATATACACTACAATGAAATGTTGCTTTAGAATTTGGAATAAATCCCTTCTGTAATGCAGCTTTGCATGTTGTCATTTGTAAAGTTGCCAGACCTGTCATCACTCACCCATCGTTTTGCTGAAACCTTCCCTTTTTCAGATTGTTAAATGCTATTCCACTTACACCCTGTTCCAATTTTGCATCCCCGGAGTCTTGAATGGACAGGTCACATCAATAATCTCCTGGATTAACACTGTAATAGTAAAATTCACAACAGCTCAGGCAAACCCATTGAACACAGTGGACAAAAAAAATATTCTACCAAAGATGGTTTAAATACTTATTGTTCCGCACCTCCTGACATCTTCTATATGTCATTTCTAAAGACGCCTTCGTCTCACACCTTTTATTACTTTATTATAACAGAAAGGATACTGTACAGATTATAGGGATTTGCAGGTGTTGAGAGCGGCCATAGAAAACATACTTTGCTGATTTTAAACCGTTTTCTTTTTTTTCACCTATATTTTTATTAAAAGCAGAGTAGCTTAGTATGCTTCCGGACTGCCCTCAACACAATGCAGAAAAGATAAAGGAATGAAAGTTTTGTTGTGTCTTTCTTGTACATACTATTCAATAGATCAGGTAACAGTCCAACCCATTTTTTATGGGTGATTTTAGTTAACTTGTGTGCAGGTAGTGGTTAACGTGTGGTGCCCCTTAGGATCACCAAACCGCTCCACCCACCCCGCCCCCGCCTTTCCCCATTCCCAATTAAAACAGAGACATAAATGTGGTATAAAACAGGCCACAGCTTTATTTATATATATAATAAGTAAAACCAATTCAAATTATATTTAATATGAGCGTATATATTTAACTCAAAACCCGTCCTTGCCAACCGAACCATAATAACCTTTTGAGTACCTCTTTCCCGGGCACCTGCCCTCCCCCCTCGTCCAAGCTAATTGGCCTTCACCTTGGCCCTCCAATTCCCCATGCCAACCCCTGGCCGCTTTTCCTGGCACGGAGGGCACGCCCAAATACCAAACCATTGCCCGAGGTTAGGGGAGGGACCAGACCCAGCATTCCTTCGTCCAATGCATTCCTTTTTCCACTGGTTCGGCAAGGACCATACCCGCCACTAGCGCCAGCTGCATTTAAGCCTAAATCAGCAGGCGCGACCCCCCACCAATGCCATGGCCTGTTCCAGCGCATCCTGCAGAGCTAGGTTGAAGAAATCCAACCCCACATCGGTCAGGTGGACCCCGTCCGGGCGAAAATATATCGCCGCGTCACGTTCAAATATTCGGTGGCGCACCGAAATGCCACCAACGCCGAGCACAAATTTTGACACTCTTTTATTAATTTTCACCCTGCATCGCTCAATAGCCCCCTGATCGCGCGCGCGCCACCAATAGTTCCTGGACACTATCCCAGACCAAACTAAACAAAGCTGCGGGAACAAAACTCGCAAGCGCGCGAGTTCTAATCATTTCACCCAAACCCCATGCAGGCAGCACCCCCAGATCATTGCCACCCAAATGAACCACCAATACATCAGGCGCCCCTAGGAAAGTGGCCAGCTGTACAACCTCCGGCAAGAGCTGGCCCCATCTCATGCCCCGGAAACCAAACCATCGGACCTCCGCCAGCTCCCGAGGAATTCCAAGGCGTGTCCCACCCGGGCGTACCCCAGCCCGCAGGTGGGCCCAATAGATGTACGAATGCCCAATCAGCCAGATCCTACGGCCGGGCCCTGTGGAGACCCCCAGGGGTCCCCCTGCTAGGGCTCACCAGTTCTCCAACCCGAAGAGCCCCAAAAAAGGCGAAAGTAAACGCCACCAAAAACAATCTAGCCTCCGGAGCCGAAAAACAGACCTGGGGGAGAACCGAGGCGATCCCTAACAGTAGCGCGCCCGAAACCGGCCTCCGAGTATCCCGCACCATCGGGCCTTTCCGCCAACCGCGCATCGCAAGCCTCACCATGCAGTGTTTTGTCACATCGGGTACCTGGGTTAAGTTGAACCAGAAACTAAGGCCTGATAGCTTCCCTGAAACCGTAGCTGGGGAACACCCGCTAGCCTCCCAGAACCAGAGCAACCGTAACAGACCCTGGACCCTCTCGTCAGAGGAGCCGAACCCACCGCAATCCTGTTCCAGTGCGACCCAATCCCCCCACGCCTTACCATACCGGACCCATGTTGCCTCTGACACCGACGACCGTATCCACTCCCTTATTCGTTCAGGCCAAGGGACCAGAGTTCCGCGGGACAGGAGAGACCTTCCAGATCCGCTTCCGGAGCAGCCGATCGAAATACCTGCCATTGGAAACGAGAGAGAGCGTCAGCTGTGGTATTCACAACACCTGGAATGTGCACAGCGCGGCATGAAACGTTCAATGACAAGCATCGTAAGACCAGACGCCGCAAGAGCCTGACCACCGGAGGGGAGGAGGCCGTTAGATTATTAATGGCCTGCACCACCCCCAAGTTATCGCAATGGAAGACGACGCGCCGGTCCCTGAACTCCATTCCCCACAAATGAACTGCCACCACGATGGGGAAGAGCTCAAGGAGGGCCATATTTTTGGTAAGGCCAGCAGCAACCCAAGCCTCAGGCCAAGGTTCCGCGCACCATTGCGTCCCTAAGATAGCCCCAAATCCTGATGCTCCTGCCGCATCAGTAAACAGGTGTAGCACAGAATTCAACACCTCTGGTTGTTGCCAATAGGACCTGCCATTGTACCCATCTAAGAAAACCATCCATACTGCCAAGTCCTCCTTGAGCACTTTGGTTAAGCGGATAAAATGGAATGATTTTACAATTCCTGCCGTGGCGGCCGCTAGGCGCCGGTTAAACACTCGTCCCATAGGCATAATCCGACAGGCAAAATTCAACTTGCCAAGGAGGGATTGAAGCCGTTGTAAAGTAATCTTCCGGAGGGAGCTCGCCTCCCGCACAGCCCCCCGCAGATCCTCCAATTTATCCGGCGGGAGCCGACATTCCCCAATAACCGAATCGATCTCAATTCCAAGAAAACACAAGCACGGGGAAGGGCCCACCGTTTTGTCGGGCGCCAGAGGCACGCCGAACCCACAGGCCACGTCGGCTACCGATTGCAAAATGTGCGCGCATATCGGGGAGTTCGCGGGACCCACACAAAGAAAATCATCCAAATAGTGAAGCACTGAGTCATAACCAGACTCAGCTCTCACTACCCATTCCATGAAGGAGCTAAAACATTCAAAATAAAAGCAGGATATTGCACAACCCATCGGGAGGCACATATCCACGTAAAATTGCCCTTCAAAGGAACAGCCGAGCAGATGATGACACTCCGGGTGAACCGGCAGGAGGCGAAAAGCCGACTCAATGTCGGTTTTTGCCATCAGTGCACCGGGGCCCGCGGCCCTAACCATACCAACCGCAGTATCAAACGAGGCGTATGAAACCCGGCATAGCTCCGCCGCAATGTCATCATTCACGGAACCCCCTTGGGGGTGCGAGAGATGATGAATTAGCCGAAAATTTCCGTGCTCTCTCTTGGGAACGACGCCTAGTGGCGATACCCGAAGGTCAGGAAGGGGGGGTTCACAAAAAGGGCCAGCCATGCGGCCCAATGCCACTTCCTTAGCCAGCTTGTCTTTTACCACCCCCGGGTGTTCAGCAACGGAACGCAGGTTCCGACACGACCCTGAGGGCGAACGAGCCTGATGGGGAATCCAAAAACCATGAGTAAACCCTTCCAGGAGCAAGGCAGCCGCCTTTTTGTTCCTATAACATTTTAGCCACGGACGCATCGCGACGACGTCCACCGGCGTCTTCGCTCTTAGCGCCCATGGCATCCCCTTTTTCGCCAAACTTACCCCGTTTAAAACACTTAGAAGCGGGGTGGGACCCGCCGCAACCGGAGCATTCGTGCTTGAAGCGACAATTTGCTCCAAATTTACACTGGCCGTCGTTAAATTGTCAACAGCAACCTGTTCTACGCTGAGTGGCCGACGCGGAGGGTGAGGACCCTGCGCCGGCCCCCCCAAGAAAGGACGACAGGCCCCCCTGATGTGAAGCGGGATGGGTCATGATGGCCAACCACAAGCCGATATCCATTTGATCCCAACTCAGGGAAGGGCGCACCGCTAAGCGCTGGCGGAACTGTTCATCATACCGCCACCAGCCTAACCCTCCATAAACCCGACACGCGTTCCAGATCATATCCTGGTAGCAAAATAGAGAAGAGCATTTGTTGGGAGTCTTTTCCCCTATAACGCTAGCCAGGATAGAAAAGGCCCTGATCCAATTCCCAAAAGTATCTTCCGATACCGAAACTTTTCTTTCTCCTTTTCAGACTCCTTTGCTGCAGGATCAACCCGAGGCAAGTCCTCCATAGGGAGAAGAGAAAAAATTTCAACAAATTCCCCTTTCTCTATCTTGGCCCGCAATTCAGCTGTCAAATGGAGGCCCAGGGGGCCTGACCAACACATGTAAGCCGCCCCGTGCGCAGCGGGTGCGACCCCCAAGTCCTGAACCGCAGTGGGGGTCACTGTTGACCCCACGGTGCTTCCGAGCTCACCTGCGGCAGGCAAAGATTCTAGGAGGGCAGTAGGCCCCCCTGAGACAGCCGAAGTAGAAGGCAGGACACCTGACCCTCCGCTAGTCGCCCAACCCGTTCTAAGTTGGTTATCTAAAGTCGAGGTGAGGGGAGCCCCAGGGGGGGGCCCCTTTTCCAAGGAATGTAAAACCTGTCGCATAGTTTGCAGCAACGAATCCCATTCTGGGATAACTGCGTTAACACACCCCGACCCCAAACCTTGTAAACTAATATACTCACTGGCAGGAACCGAATGTGAAGCCATCTGTGGAGCCACGCCCTGGCCGCTAGACTGTGGTGGCCCAGCTGGAACAGCGACTGCAGGAGGATCTGCACCAGTCGCAACGTCAGCAAAACGAACCGAGAGCCTACCAGGAGTAATCTGCGAAGACAACACAGGTGAGATGGACCCCGGCCCACCCACCCCAGTAGAAAGGAAACCGGTAGAGGAGGGCCCTGTGGGGGAACAATGGGCCCCTTCTGTAAGAGTGGCAGGATGAATGGGGGGCAAAGTGGTATGAAGTGGGCCAGGGGGGGCAAGCTGGGCACCAGCCATGAGTGGGCCAGCGGGCAAGGCAGGGAAATTGAGAGGGGCAGGCCCAGGAGACCCTGTAAGGGCCCCAGCCATGATGGGGGCAGCTGAGGAGGAAGGGAGAAGTGGAGGGGCAGAGTGCAACACAGCTGCCACAGGGACAGATCCAGCAGACAGTGGAGCAGGCGCAGGGACAGGAGCAGCTCCAGGGGAGACAGAGTGGGGAGGGAGAGCAGGGGGAGGGCTGAGAGGTAAGTTAGGGGAAGCATACTCCCTGCGCCGTGCCCCAGAACCCCCCACCCCCCTGGAGACAGCCCTGCCGACCAGCGGCCTACTCACCCGACCTGGAGAGAGGGCCACCCGCCCTTGCACTGCCGTTGATCCCGCCAAGGCCGACCGGGTGGTTAGTGCCCGCTGTGCGGTGAGGTGCTGCGTTCTCGCGGCCGACCTCCGCCGAGCCCGCGAGACCGGGGGGGGGGGTGGTAGCCGCGATGCGTCCATCCGGCGTGTTGAAACGCGAGAGGAGGTGCCACCCGCGGCCGCGGAGGAACTGACGCGCGGGCCGGCAACAGGGCTAATACTCCTCTCCCTCACCCGACCCTCCCGTGAGGGGCTATACCGGGCAGGGGGTCGTGCGCGACGGCGCTGGTTCCCATGGCCGCCATTAGAGGGAGCAGCCACAAGATCAGCACCCTGGTTCCCAGGGCTGCCATTAGAGGGAGCAGCCACACTAGGAGCACCCTGCAGGCGTACTAGCTGTGACTGCAGGTGCCGTCCACCATCTTGAAGGGCCTCAGCCCGGAGGGCAGCGAGGATTGCATCAATATCCATACCCTTGGCCGTTTGACAAGCAGTGGTAAGCACAGGAGGATGCAGAGATGTTACCACGCCGTTAAATCTAAGATGGCTGAGGTAAGGGAGACAAAATGACTGGTATATAAAGGACCACACCCATCCCTTACTCTAATTGACACACCCACTTATGACACCTACACCCACCACACCCACACATGCCTCCTATCCGGCTAGCTTTCAGCCCGCCTCCTCTGGGCCTTGACAATAAACTGGAGTAGCAAATAATTGTGTGAAGAAGGAACCTGATGCATTCTGCAAGCGATTGTAGGTTCTGTCCTGTGTTTGAGGAAAGTTGTGACTGATTATAATTTTTTTTTTAATCATAAGGATAACAGACATCACCCAAATGGCCCTGATGAAAAGTTTACATACCCTTGAATGTTTGGGTTTGTTACAGACACACAAGGTGACACACACATGGTAAAATGGCAATTAAAGATTAATTTCCCACACCTGTGGCTTTTTAAATTAGTGCCTTAATAGTCAATGAGTTTGTTAGCTCTCACGTGGATACACTGAGCAGGCTAGATACTGAGCCATGGGGAGCGGAAAATAACTGTCAAAAGACCTGCGTAACAAGGTAATGGAACTTTGTGAAGATGGAAAAGGATATAAAAAGATATCCAAAGCCTTGTAAATGCCAGTCAGTACTTTTCAATCATTTATTAAGTGGAAAATTCGGGGATCTCTTGATACCAAGCCAAGGTCAGGTAGACCTAAAAATATTTCAGCCACAACTGCTAGAAGAATTGTTCGGGATACAAAGAAAAACCCACACGTAACCTCAGGACACATACAGGCTGCTCTGGAAAAAGACGGTGTGGTTGTTTCAAGGAGCACAATACGACGATACTTGAACAAAAATGAGCTGCATGGTCGGGTTGCCAAAAAGAAGCCCTTACTGCACCAATGTCATAAAAAAGCCCATTTACAATATGCCCCACAATGCCTTGACATGTCTCACAGCTTCTGGCACACTGTAATTTGGAGTGACAAGGCCAATATAGAGCTTTATGGTCACAACCGTAAGCGATATGTTTGGAGAGGGGTCAACAAGGTCTATAGAGAAAAGAATTCCATCCCCACTGTGAAACGTGTTGGTGGTTCCCTGATGGTTTGGGGAGGGGAAAGGGGGGAATGTGAGCTCTAAAAGGCACTGGGAATCTTGAAATTTATGTAAAGATGAATGCAGCATGTTATCAGAAAATACTGGCAGATAATTACCATTCTTCTGCACGAAGGCTGCACATGGGACGCTTTTGGACTTTCCTGCCTGACAATGACCCTAAGCACAAGACCAAGTTGACCCTCCAGTGGTTACAGCAGAAAAAAGGTGAAGGTTCTGGAGTGGCCATCACAGTCTCCTGACCTTAATATCATCGAGCCACTCTAGGGAGATCTCAAACGTGTGGTTCATGCAAGACAAACAAAGACTTTGCATAACCTGGATGCATTTTGCCAATATGTATATTACCAATATATATTGTTGAATAAGAAATAAAAGAAATGTGTTTTGCCTGCTCAGTTTTTTTTTTTTTTTAAATGGTGCATATATTACCAATTCTCCAAGGGTCTGCAAACTTTTGAGCACACCTGTATATGTGTTAACTCCTTGTAAAATGGTATACATATCCCAGGTGTAGCTACAACATTTAAAAAAAAAACATAATGCAGACAAATCTTCCGATTATAAGAGAAGCCAAATTATTAGCAGCCCCCTTAAGATGTACACACTAGAACCGAAAATTCCTGCTCAGGGTATGCTGACATGATGGGAGAGGGGAAGCACACCACTGTCTGGGTATCCACCGATGCTTGCAGGGATTTATATGTAAAGTGAAAGGTGGTGAATTTCCCACTAACTGGTATCCACGACAGAAGAGCATGTGGCTTAATGTAACATCTTGCACTGGCTACCATACGTTTTCAGTTATTCATCTGCTTTAGATTCCAATTTCTATTTAGTTTCTGCTTCGTAAACATTGACAAACCATACACCAGGTTTCATGCATATTCATGTCTGTTAAATATAGTTCAAATAACGTTGCCCAGACATGTGCTCGGGTATATATAAAATGTATCCAATTAAAATATAATAATTTTTTAAAATATTGCCTTTTTTCAGAGAGCCTCACAGATCTTAATTTCTTCCAGATCTCTCTGGCAAAACAACATTATTGTAATCACAAAAATAACGATCAATTAATATTTAATTGTTTCTGTTTCATTTGGTAGTGGGAATTCAAAATACATCATTTCCTTGAGTGAATCCAATAATCCTTTAGTATTCTTAAGGTCAAATTTTAGAATCCTCAGGTCTTCTGTAACGGCTGATTACTGCACTGAATGGAGGTACTACATAATTATTATATGTCATATTCATTAGACATACCTATGTCATGTTCTTTATTATATTATATATATATATATATATATATAAAACCTTCAACAAGGGAACATTAAATTATTTCCACCAATCTGAGTGTCCTGCAGAGGCTCATTATCCGTCAGTATATATAGGAAATGGTATGCACATAGGAGGTTGCAGGGTATCAATCTATAATCTGTTATTAAATAACCCAAATGAGTCCAAAAGGGTATGGGACTATGCATTTCGTTTTTGTCTAATGCAAAGGAGCAGAGGGGTTTGTGTTTCTACTTGTGTATCAAGTCATGGGTAGCTAAAGGGAACATGGAGATGATGTCTATTCAATAAACTGGGATTATCTGAAAATTACAGTAGTTGAAGGTGGGGTGAATCATTTACCTTCGGAGGAAGGAGTGATGACTTCTGCGTACCTGGACCTAATATCACTCAATAGTATTTCTTTATGCACCGTGCCAGGGGTAGAACAAATCCTTAATTTGTACAGAAAGGAAGGCTCTCAATAAGCCATACGATTTAATTTATTTACATTATGTACAGTTTGTGGATACAGCAGGGATTGATAAACTATGCCTTTTATTTCTCTCTCTCATAATATTTAATTGTGAAGAAAACGTGTGCGTTTGATTGGCAGGACTTACCTCACTCACTCTGTTCTTAATTATTTTCACCAACTCCCCAGCTTTGTCTCCGCTTCCTCTGGAGAAGATTAAAGGAAGTATGAACAGACACCCCAAGGAGTGTTAAACACAAGAAGTAATATTTTATATTATGGAAATTCCAAATATGTTTTGTACAACCAAAGGAAAAAAGTTACCTGCGCTCTTCCCACATCCCTATGTATTTTTAAACAAATGGAGGTTTTTAGTTACCTCCAATGGCCATGAGAGGTTAAGCCCACCTGCCACGTCAAGGCAGACCTCTTAGGTGGGTCCTAACTCTAACCATTCACCTTGCTTCCTTGAGCTTCTGGCAAAAATATCTCTAATGAGACAGAAAGGAGTGTACTATGGTCATTGCTGCCGCCCAGGAGTAATGAGAGTTTGAGCGCAGGACTAGTTTCTTTGTACATGTTTTGTACAACATTGAGTTGAATCTGGAATTCAATCACTCTGTTTTGATATGTAATCGAGATCAGGAAGGAGGTTCAGCGCTGATAGGAAAACAGAGAATATGACAGCAAGGCAGCACACCTACGGAAAAGGGGAATCCCCTCTAAGCCCCTTGGAATACAATGGAGAGAAAAGAACAAATAAATCTCTGATATATATTTTTATATATTCATTCTACTTGTCTTAGGCGCACCATTATTTGTTCTTTTCTCTTCACTCTGTTTTGATACTCTTGTTTTCCTGATTTTAAATTTTTTTTTTTTTAATAATGAGTTTCCAAATGTTGTACTAAAACATAACAGTAAATAATTGTTTAACTGGGCTATCACATAGTCTGGAAGGATGTCTGATTTGGTGATGTTTTGATCTTGGCGTGATAATTTGAGTGCAATCTTGACCTTGATGCTTGTAGCGTGCAGGAGAGATAACATCCCATCTTTATTTTAATGTATTCATTAAAGTTAAAGCCTGTCCTGGTGATGACAATTTGTATTCCCAGCTCCAGGATTAGGTTTACTTTTCAGTAGCTGTGATGAGAGCCATGATTGACTTGATAAGGCTTCATGACCAGTTAGCTTAATGCGTGAAATGGGAATACATCCCTTTTTTTTTACCTCCCCATAATCACATAGACAGGTAGGTAAGTCTGGCTTTGAGTTGTTTTGTCCAAATTGCAAATACCATCCATAGAAAATATTATGAAAAAAATGTGTCTATGTTGATGGCTGGCTATATGTTTTTTTTTTTGTTTTGTTTTTTTAATTTGTATTTTATTTTTTTTTCTCACACAAAACAGACTTCAACAATTTATGAGAGAAATATCATGTGAAAGACATCAGTTCAAACATTTCTTATTCCAGGCTATGTGTGTAGGTTTACATCTTTATTGTACAGCATTTGGGGCTGCTTCTTGTGGGGGCCCTCCCGTGGGCCAGTGTGCGTGTAGGCTGCCCTGGACTTGGGGTCGCCCTTTCTTTCATATGTTAACTAGGTGCTAATGCCCACTCGTGCAGCTGTGGTAAATTGGTAACTATATACATAACCTCTGAGCATTCCTTGTTATTAGGCTGTCTATCATGTGCTTATCCTCTGGTCATAAGGGGGTCTTAAATTCTCCTGTCTGGGCTAGCATTGCAATGTCATGCGGGCAGTCTCCCCGAGGCTTGCGTGGTCATAGTGGGGGACTTGTAACGGCTGTGTGATGGCCTTATGTATGCAGTGTGTGGGTGTTTGGCAGTGTGCGTCGGTTTTGGCTGTATGGGCTCGCTCTGGGTCCCTCCCGATTACCTGCAGGCTTCTGAGAAATGCCGCTTGGTCTCCCTGGGGGCTTAGTGTAAAAATTTACCCTTCCCTCAGGGCCACTAAGTATCCCTCTGCTCCCCACCTATATTTGATATCTGCCTCCCTCAGTTGTTTTGCCACTGGTGTGAGGTGCCTCTTTGACATTGGTGCGGCAAACGGGAGATCCCCGTATATAGCTATTGTTGAGCCCTCGAATCTGATACTTTTAATCTCTCTGGAACAGGACATTATGGTGGACCTAGCTGCAATGTCCCTAGTGACAGCAATAATGTCTCTTGGTGCCTCCTCTGGAGCAGCTGCCGCCTTTCGGATCCGGAATGCTGCGGTCACTAGTTCCGTGCCAGCACCCCTCGTGGCTCCCATGTGGTGCAGTAAGCAGTGTAGGAAGGGCAGGAGGTCTTCTCCTGAGATTCTTTCTGGCACTCCTCGAAGGCGTATGTTCATCCTTCTATGTCTGGACTCCATCACCGTCACACTTCTGGCAAGTGTCTGGACTTGGTGGGTAAGTTCCTGGATCTCTTTCTGTGCGGTTTGTAGATTTTGGTCCCTGGCTCCTTCTCTGGCTTCCCCGTCCACAATCCGTGTGCGCAGGGTTCCCAGCTCGGCTTGTGTTGCCCGTAGGTTCGCCTTCCACACTTGTCTCATTTCCAGCAACAGGTTCTTTATGTCCCGTTTGGTAGCCGGTGAGGAGTCCTCGTCGGATCCGGACTCGCTTTTGTTGCTGCTCGCAAAGCCAGTCTCGGTATGTTGCTCTGTCTCTTGTGTTCCCTCAGAGGCTTCACTATCGCTCAGCTCTGCCGGCGCCAATTTAGGAGCGGCCCGAGGGGTAGGCCTTTCAAATGAGAGCCTGATGTCGAGGATTTGACGAGTCTCCTGCATTTGGGGTTTCTTATTTTTATGCCCCATTATGTCGTCTGTGTGGGGGTTTCTGCAGGAGCGATTTTAAGGGTGATTAGACAACTTTTTTATGGTTTCTTTAGCGGAGCTCCTTTCAAACACGTCTTGCCTGCAGCTCGATCAGCCACGCCCCCCTGGCTATAAGGTTTTAAGGCACAAAATGGTCATCTAACTAAAAAGATATCAGTCTTTGGTAGACTTGTACATTTAGTTTTGTACGAATTACAAATTTATCACAATTTAGGCCGAACAGCTGAATTCTGTATCTCCAAAGCATCATACAGATGTATAACTGATCAAACCATGGCCAAACATGATCATTTGGTTTGGTATGGAGTTCTGACTGCAGCACCAAAAAAAAAAAAAGAGTTAACTGATGGGAAAAAGGGATTGATGGTCAGGGGACAGCCACTCAAATGAGCTGAACTATCAACTGAACGAATGTTGGATATCTCTGACGAATTTTTTTTTTTTTTTTTTTTTTTAGAATGGTTTTGCTGAACCATATTCTCTTGTTTTACACAAGTCTAGTGTTTGGTAGTGAAAATGTACCAGGAATTGTGTTGGATTCTTGGCTACGAGACCACGCTTTTGGAAATAGGTGCTTCGCTCTCAGTGTTTCTTGGTCTAACACGAAATCAAGTCCTCCACTGTGATATAGGGAGTGTAAGCTCGGAAGCCAAAGATGTCCCAGCTGGCCATCGACTTCCAAACCTTTAGTATGGAGGTTACCTAGTGTGGATTGGTGGAGTGATGGGAGGGCGACTAGAAATCTGGACATAAGGGTGTGTTCTCATTGAATCCAGAACCTACGGGGATGTGATAAATGTCTATGCAGAATATGTAGAAGCTGTGGTGGAAGTTGGGCAATGCTTACACCTCTTTGCACCGGTGAGCAGTTAGTTCAGTGTAGTTCAGTCTACCTGCTTTGTTTGCCAAAATTTTTTAGTGATTTTGCACATCAAGGGGGTTAGTCGTGTTGATGGAAATTAAAAAGAGAGAGACTGGAACATATAGAGGCATTGCGTTAAACCTAACCGTTCTTTGGCGAACAGTTTATATGTGGTGCTGTAAGAGACTTAGGAAGAGGGGTGTTTGCTTTAACACCTTTAGGGAAATCATTACTTTCATATTAGGTGTTTTTTAGCAAGGAACATTTTTTTCACTTTTCTTATTCCAGGTACTTGGAGTTCTGATACATTATGATATACTTTGCTAATGCATTAAATTATTAAATTTAATATAGCTTTGGGTCATGTTTTAAAAAAAAAATCAAAGGCGGAAAAAAATGCAGAGCATGCAGTTTTGTAATGCAATACTGTGTATAGTTATTAGTTCTACACTAATAACGACATATAATGCACATTCACAAGATGAAAGCAATCGGCGATACTGTTTAATGTAGCGAAGCAATTCTTTGGTATAAAGAGATTAAGTATAATTGGAGTCACGGGCTTTATGATAAATCCTGGTAGATGATTGTTGTAGTCTGTATCTCGCAGATTGACTTTAAGACGGGGAATCTCCGCTCACGATCTTTGGTTCTAAGCAAAGGTCAAGACTGGAAAAGTGCCAAGGAGGTGGGAGCGATAAAGAGCCAACAACAGGAACAAAATAAACGCAAGGTAAAAAGAACAGTTTTTGATGATTTAAAAAAAAGTGATATTAAATAAGCATGTAGAGAGATGATAATGTTAGTCAACACAAAGCTTTAAAGTATTTTGACTGCCATGCCCAAACAGTTAAACTTAGCATAACATAAAGAGTACAGTCTAACTATATATGCAGTAGGGCATCTCTGGTCCACTACCCTGCAGCTTAATGCCATCATTCTCAAACAGTAGCGTTACCATTACTGTCAATTGCTCATCACCAGATTCCCCCCCTCCCAAATTCTCTTGAGAATTAAATTTATGTTTCCATGGGCGTTGCGGAATTTGTTGGCGCTTTATAAATAATAATAATGGTTGAACGTAGAAGCAAACTATCTATTTAATTATAGTTTGACTGGCAAATAGTTAGCAGCAGCTGCAGAGACCTTTTTCCTAAACTAGGAAGAAGATCATTTAATTGAGGTCTGTGAGATTTGCTTTTACCCCACAAGCAACTGCACAGCAGGGTTTTACTGGACACACAGCCCCGGTAGCTTGTCTACTGACCAGTTCTATTAAGCAGAGTTGCTGCCTAAGCGAATATCAGTCATACTGTAGCTGCTGTGATCTTACAAACAACCCTATTCAGTTTTTACAGATGTTGGGAAGGTGGGGACTCAACGCATGGATACAAACTTTGCCTTTATGGGGAAAAAGGGGTGAATATACACCTGCATAGAGACTTGCAAATTATTGCATTTATAAGCATATGAGTTATAACTAATTAAGAGTTGTAAGTATATAATGTGTATTCCTTACTATATAACTGCTCATACGTAAAAGTATCTAACACACTTTAAAACGAGAAAAATCTCAATGTATCCTCACTTGGATAATGTTTGGTAAATGTATAAGCTATGCAATTGTAGCGGTACTTACCCTTTCCAGGGGCTGGCCGGGGTCCTCTGTTCGAGCCGCGTGCGGCTCATCCGACGGCTGTAACAGGAAGGCGGGCAGTGACCGCGAGAAGCGGACACGTGTCCCGCCTAACTCTAAGAGCGCGCCGCGGGTCTCGGGCGCGCTCTTAAAGGGACAGTGGGAGCCTAAATTGGAAAAGGCATCCCATTGATCCCTGTCATGCCACACTCCCCATACACTTACCTTTTGGGGGCGTGGATGTGACAGGGACCAATCAAATTAGATGTTTAGGTATATATACTCACCTTTTCCCCTTAGTTCCTTGCCCTATCGAGGTTTCTGTTTCAGTTCCCTTTAGCGCTTGTTGTGTTCAGTTGTGTTCCTTCGTACTTGACCTTGGCTTTGTTTCTGACTACGTTATCTCTTTATCCTTATCTGTTCTGTTTGCCGGCTTGCTGTTTTTCTGTGTACCAGACCCTGGCTAGTTCAAGTTTACGCTGTCTCTTTGTGCCCTTGACCTCGGATTGCTCCTGACTCTGTATCTCTCTCCTTTACGTCGAGTCCGGCCACGCTAAGGTCCTGTAGCATTTGTTTAGCTTAAATCCTACATGTTGGGGTATATTTTCGTTACAGCAATGGACATGTACATAATTATGGTGATTCAAGTGTCTCTATAAGAAATCAGAACATCACAAATGTGAATTGTAATTATTTTAGTCATACTTCTTATTGCAAAAGATTGAAAAGTGACAGAAAAAAAAGACAATTAAGGACAATGAAATGATAGCCGTGTTTAGAGTGAATTTATCCTTTTTCAGTACTTGTTTGGCAGACCTTTGCAGCATTATCTAGAATCAGTGCTTTGCTAGCCTTGCAAACAGTTAAACGTTACGTAGGGATAATAAGACTGACGCACTGTTTTATTAATTTCCACCAGATTGCATTCTGTTGGGTAGATTAAAACCCTTGAGATAAAATCGGATTAGAATAAAATGTATGATTAGCAAAAATAAACATTTACGTGTTTTATGGTCTGTTGCACCACATTTCCAACCAAAGACTGGGTAACGAATGTCTGTGCACTTTTTTTTAGGAAATAGATGTGTACCCTGGCTATGCCAGGATTGTGACGTTAATTCATAAAAGCTTCATTATACAGAAATATGTAAATAAAACAGAATATCAGATAAGAATGAACTTTAACACAACTTATAGGTGATTTTCTAAACTGTCTTATCAATGGGGTAACTTTCAAAAAAGTTACAAAATCTCATCTTCTTAGACTTTGATTAAGATTTACATATTCACACCCTACATCCTTGTGTAGTTCAGGCCAAAACACCTAGAAAAGGTATTTCTTATTAACATTAATTATCTGTAATTCAAAGTGTTCTCATTGCTTGTTTGAAATCTCTGTAGATGTTTTATTTATAATGTTTTTGTTTTCTTTGATGAGTTTCCCATTTTTCTTTATTACTCGCAGACACTAACCAAAATAACCATTCCAGACCACAACTGGTACTTCATATACTAGATACTAGTGATGGTGCAAGGGCAAATAAATCCCGTTTAACTATTTCACACGCACAAGGTGATAAATATTTATTTGAAAACAAAAAAACTGGATCAGTAGCAGCCTTATATAACTGCTGCATTATTTTAGTTAATTTATTTTGGGTGCGAGATCCAAAATTAGCCAGAAAAATGCGGGATACAAAAAAAAAAAAAAGATTGTGGTTTGTGATACCTAATGAAAACAATGAAGTGGATTGATTAAAACTATGTGAGTGATTCACCAGACACCAAATTTATAAAAGTTTTAAAACTAGTTAAGTTAAAATACTGTTGCTGATTTGTAAATATTCTCCTGGCTATTGCGGCCTACATTTTGCAATACATTTTTACAATATTCTAGAATTCACTATTCAGTTAATAAAGCTTTATTTGTTTTTGTAATGCTCTTAAAAAGCATAGTCACATGTTTGGTGATTTTATTAACACAGTAAGCTCATTTTGCCACATAGGGTGCACTTTTATCAAATGTCTTCACAGATACAGAAAAACGTGGGACATCTATTGTTGTTGATTTAAGAAGTGGTTAAATTATAGTGTTGGCTAAATTTACTCACGTTGTGGTTTCTTTTGTTGTAATTCATGTTCCCTGACCCCACATCAGACATTCGGAAACCAAACAATATTTTGAAATGGATTTGATGGGCACCACATGACTATTACACGAGGAAACGATTAAAGTGCCTTGTTAAGAGATTCTTTTTTTCTTTCAATCCTTTCTTCGTTTTATTTATTTATTTCTTAACGTAATACAGAACTGTTTCCCAAATGTTTCAAAAAGCTTTAAAAAAAATAAAATAAAAAAGTACAATAAAGAGCTCAAGTCGTCTGTCAAAATTAAATCAGCACCTCATTTCTTAGGAGAAAATCTGTAGATTGAAAGTGAGAAAAATGCCTCCTTTAATAATGCGTTGACATATCATGGCTGCTAAATATGTCAGCCATGTTGAAATGATTAGTCATAAATGATAATCTGTTTTTCTTTGATAGGTGCTGGTGTGTATCTGTACATCTAGCAGTGATCAGATTCCTTTACTTGCCTTTAAAATCACCTTATTAAAGACCCAAGAGTGTCACATTAAAACTGAATTTGGGGTAGATGATTTCTAGACAATAGTACATTTTAGGTACTTTTTTTCCCCCCCTATATAAGGTTTTTATTTTTTTATTTTTTTTTCTACTTTACAAGACTAACATTTTGTCAAATTGAGTTTGAGAGGACAAGGTGGATCCCAATCTGCAGATATAAGCAGAGCATACCTCCCAAGTGTCCCTTTTTAGGAGGAACAGTCTCTAGTTTTGGCCAAAATCTCTCTAGTGATTTAACTGATAATCTTACAATGTAGAACTTGAAAGGCTATATCTCAAAGCTAAGGACAAAACAACGAAAAACAACCAAGTGCATTGATGCTGGTAATAGCTGACATATTAACCTATTATGTGCCATATGGCTATTGCAGTGAGTGTGTTTGTTCCTTTAAGTTTCCTTTAACCCCTTAGTGACCAGACCGTTTTTCAATTTTCTTACCGTTAAGGACCAGGGCTGTTTTTACATTTTTGCGGTGTTTGTGTTTAGCTGTAATCTTCCTCTTACTCATTTTAACACTTGCCATGCACTTATTCTACCACCAGTCTTTGTCAAACTTTTGGGTAATCATTTTTTTGTGTTATTATTCTCTCACAATGTATTTTAAGCATGGATTCTCAGTTCCTGTTATGTGTTACTGACAAAGAACACCCCAATATGTGTTCAGCAACATCTCCCGAGTACAACAGTACCCCCAATGTACAGGTTATATGGGTTTTTGCAGTTGTACAGGGGTCAAATATAGGGCTTTCCCCTTTTCCATGTTTGCACATTGAAATTTTCCAGATTGGTTTGCTGGGCCTATGTTGCCTTTGAGACCGTATAGTAGCCCAGGAATGAAAATTAACCACATCATGGCATACCATTTGTAAAAGTAGACAAACCATGGTATTCAAAATGGGGTATGTCCAGTCTTTTGTAGTAGCCACTTTTAGCGTTTTTATTAATTTTTTTATAATAATAATTTTTTCAATTTATATAATATATATATATATATATATAAAATATGTGTGTGTGCATATAATTCGTGTGTGTGTGTGTATATATATATATATAAAATAAACACACACACACACACACACACTTTTATTTCCTGTATATGTATAATATATTATAATTAAAGCATTTTATAATATATTATACATATATAATGCATATATATTATTTTATTACAAGTCTATTTTGAGATATATGTGTACACTTATAATGAACTCATATATATGCCTTATATATGTATAATATATTATAAAATGCTTTAATTATTTTATAATATATTATACACAAACATGTATTCCTGACCCTACATTAAGGTGTCTTGCCCCCTCCCTTGCCCCCCTTAAAAACCATGAAAAACTTGCCCCCTTGGTGACATCATCAAAACGGCCGATTTTTAACCAATCCAATGCTTTCCTATAAGGAAAGCATTGGATTGGCTAAAATCGGCAAGGGGGCAGGGCCAAACGACGTTATGGCCAATCAGCACCTCCTCATAGAGATGCATTGAATCAATGTATCTCTATGAGGAAAATTCAGCGTCCCCATGCAGAGCGTGGAGACGCTGAACGGCAGAGCTGCCTACTGTGCAGCACTGAGCCAGGAAGCACCTCAAGTGGCCACTTGAAGTCCCTAGGGTTGTTTCCTCTGAAAAGGCAGTGTTTGCATGAAAATGCTTACATATAATGATTATACTCACTAGAACAACCACATTAAGCTATAGTTGTTCTGGTGACTATAGTGTCTCTTTAAATAGCTTGGCTGTAACAGAGATATCATCAAACCTCTTTGCATCCAAGAGGGAGCTTGCAATCCGCCATGAAGGAGGTCTCTCAGAGCCTCACTAACATTAACGAGTTTTTCAAACTGTTTTTCTGCTGTGATTTGTCTTTGTCAGTTCTGGAAGAAAAGGTGGATTTAACTACACGACCCTTGTGAATGACATGTTTTCCCTCTGTCTTATTTTCTAATCTCTTAGGATGTTATTTCTTAAATCTCACACGGTAATCTGGTTTAAGGCCAGGAGTCTCTCGCCTCACTGGTCTCCAATCATCCGCTAAATTGCTCTCTCATCATTTTTAAGAGCTGTCCTGGGGCTGACGTCCTTTCTTCTAACAATAATGTATTTGTAAGGGAAAGGAATATTCTGCGTGTGATTTTCTGATTAAAGGAATACTAAAGCGCTACGAATACTAACCTGAATTACTAACTCTTTAGTGTCCCTGTCCCTAGGTATATCCAGGCCCCTCCTCCTGTTTCCCAGCCCTGAGTCTCCCTCGCTGCTGCTTACCTCTCTAGATGGACCTGGCACCCAGACCACTTCATTAAGCTGAAGTGGTCTGGGTGCCTATAGTGGTCCTTTAATGTTACGTTTTACAAATTAGCTTAAAAAAAAAAAAAAAAAAAAAGGTCATCATTGAGGCAATTTTTAAATTAAAAAAATGAGTCATAAATCTTATTTTGGCTATGAAAGTTGGAACTCTGCCTAACATTTTTACAATTTAGTTAGTTATATTATTTAAAATACCAAAAGAGTAATATTCAATTCAGTAGCAAACTTTCCTCTTTATTGGTTTTTATATTACAGTGCCGCCATCTTGTGGTGGAATGTATGTGCAACACCTAGAACCATTTTTGTTATTTTAAAACTAAATTTATATTTTGCCGAGGCATGAATTGCAATTGTATTTCAGTTTATTAATAAACACGTCACATGCTACCTCCTAAGCTAAGTCATTATCACCCTTAGTACTATTATTGTTGCTAGTTGAGCATGAGGGTAAACATAGTTCCCATCATGGCCCTGAAAAAAACTACTTTGTAAATAAATAGTATGTTCTAAAACGCCCTCCCCAAAAAAATGCAAAAATTGACGCGATTGGAACCTATACTGTTGCTGACAATAAATTATCGTTGACTTTGGATACTTTCAGTTCTGTGCAAAGTAAGATCTACTTTCCCTGTTATAAGGGTTGCAAAAAGTCTAAGTAGGTAACAAAGTCTCTCACACAGAAGAGACATGCTGCCATTTATGGTTCAGGTCTACCATTTGTGCTGGGTCTGATATGAAATGCATAGGTTCTGTCTTTAAAGACATACCACAGGTAAATCTTGTTTGAGACCAGAGCCGCAGCTTGTTGAACACAGAGAATGATTACGATCCCATGGGGGGCTTGGAAAGGTACAGGTTTGGGGCCCATATTCATTCTTCACATAGGGCTGATTAATAACATTAATATTAGCAAATTCAAGGTTCCAGTGCCCCTGTCAAGCCCCTTTGCATCACATAAGTTCGCCTTATGGTTAATCCTGTTCAAGTTGGAGAGCAAGCCATTCATATTTTATCCATTCCCAGAGATCTTATAAAATCTGATTTGGCTTCTTTTCATATTATGTGTATGAAGGATAGTCCATCTGTGGACCTTGTTCTCACTGTTCCCTAGAGAGGCGTCAGCTATACCTCACTGACTAGGCCAAGACCTGACTTGTGATAGCTTGCATTATGGTTCTCCACTGCCCTCTCTGTAGTGCTAGAGACTGATATGAAATAGTACAGGTCTCCTCTGTAATGGTGTATATGAGCTAAAATATGTTTGTGACTAAAGTAGGGGTTAACTGAAAGGCAATTACATTTTTGTGGATTCTCAGTGAATTCTTTTTTAAATGGTTGATTAAATAAGTGATAAAATCTACAATCGAATGAGTAAGTGTTGCCAAAGACTAATTATAGGTATAAGTTGGGGATCGAATACCAAGACCTAATGCATGTTCATAGAATAGAGGGTTTTTAATACTATCTATACCCATCTCTCTATATATATTTAATATGTGTGAGTAATAAAATTAAATATGGAAAAGTACACCTCTTTGTCCTCCATTGTGGCTCCCTGTCCGGTACTGTTATAAGCATTGTGCTTTGCAACTGGCAGTCAGCATGCAAAAGGCATAGAAAGAAGAGGAGACTTTAAAAGTGCTTCTATTCCTCTTTTTCATTTGCAGTGTGTGCCCTGCCCGTGCCTTGTCTCAACTGGATTGTGAGGTAATTTGCTAACTATTTAATATACATTTAAAGCAAAATGGAGCATCTCATAAAAAAAAAAGACAAGTGATAGGTGATTTTCATTTTTTTATCCAATGGAATAAATTTTAAAAAAGTGACAATTCCTTTTTAATGTCCCTTTGTAGCCAAATTTCTACTTTGTCAGTTAATTTCCTTACGGTCACTGGTGAGAATTAGCATGGCAGGACTGTCCTAAAAATGTGAATAATAAACATCTTTTAAAAAGTCATCAATAAGTTTTTAATACATGAAATAAACTTTCTTTTAAAAAAAAAATAGAAGTGAAAATTTGAGTCCATGAAGCACATTGTTTCAGCCGTCAACCCCCCACTTCATGATAAGGAATCCTTTACCTATAGGTTGGTACACAGAGTTCTCGTAGATTTAAGAGACTTGTATTTTACACATCTTTTTCACTTTAAGAAATAATACTTTGCATTATTAACATTGCATCTATGGATACAACTAAACCAACAAAGTATGTAAGTTATTTGGCACAATTCAATACATTTAGTATATGTAGGTGGTATACATCTGCTATATAAATAGCTCTCTTTCAGTGCTAAATGATTCACTTGCAATTAGTGGTGTGAAGCTGAATGCAGGGTCATTGGGGTAATGCTACATAGCTGAAGGCTAAACAACTTATGCAAGGTACCCATTGATGTTCTGTAGTTTTGGGATTTCTCAAATTAGCATGTTATGAACTAGATATTTTCTATGTCAGTTAGCAATGTATTGCATAGGTGTGTCCTCAAAAGATAGCCTATTAATAGTGAATTATACCAATATATAATAATATGCCATTGGCTGAATAGTTATTAAATCGATCTCATATGTGGTCCTTTGTTTTGATGCATAACTATTGCTTAAAGGGACACTCCACTCCCAAATAAAAACAAATAACTGTTTATTAATTATATCCCACATAAAAAAACATGCATGCATTGAATTATGCATTTTGTCATTGGCACTATATCTAAAAACAGTTCTCACTTTCAAACCCAGCCCAGACTTTCTATGGTTGTCCAACCCAATGCAGCTTACGGAGAAGTCTTTGCAAGGCAGGTGCTCTGAGCAATTACCTCCCTCTTGAGCTTAACTCCAGTGAGCTAAACAACCAGGTTATAACAGGACCTGTTGTCTGATTGGCAGCCAGAGAGTTGTAACAAGTCCCATTTGAAGTCAACAGATTTTGGAACCTGCTAAGAATTCGCTACCCCAATACCACTGGTTTGTATTTAATTGTCTGATGTCCCATCTGTAATTTGATACTGAAAGTGGAACATTTGTCATAAACATTTTTTTTATTGGGGGGTTTGGGGGGGTGGGGAGGGGAGTTGGATCCCTTAGTGGGCAATGGCAGAGGTGGGGCTGTTTTTAGAAATATTAGGTGACATTCTAATAACAATTTATACAACAAAATATAATTACATTGTATCTAATGCACACAGAACAATTTTAAAAACATGTTTCTTGAGGTTTAAAGACACATTACTGTGAGCTAGGGATGTGCATAATCCAAAAATTTGTTTCGGAAATCTGGGTAAAAAAAATAAAAATATTCGGGACTTCGGCAATTTGGGACTTCGATTCGGGATTTTGGCAATTGGGGACTTCGGCAATTCGAAAAATCTGTAGGGCTTCTTAACCCTAACCCTAACCTAACCCTACATTAACCATAACTCTACTCTAACCTAAACCTACCCTAACTCTAACCCTACCTTACCCCTCACCCTAACCCTACCTTAACCCTAACCCTACCCTAACCCTAATGTAACTCTACCCCTAAACTAACCCTACATTAACTATAACCCTACTCTAACCTATCCCTACCCTAACCCTGCCCTAACCCTACCTTACCCCTCACCCTAACCCTACCTTAACCCTAACCCTAAGTCAACCCTACCCTAACCCTACCCTCACCTAACCCTCCCCCTAACCCAACCCTGTTATCATTCATATAATTTTCCTCCCCTCTCTTTTTTTTTGCCAATTTTCAGAAATCCGAAGCACTTTGGCACTTTCAAAATTCGGGACTTCGGACATTCGGATGATTGCCCGAAATTCGTTCGAATTTACATGTGGACCAAAACGAATTGCATAATTGCCGTTGAGCTCTTTTATACACTCTCACAAACCAACAATATGGAACTCCAGGGCCGGACTGGGAAAGAAATTCAGCATGGACATTTTTTAATCACAGCAGCCCACTAAGAAGGCGGCGGAGCAGAGAGTGTGTGTTTTGTCATTTTGTGTGTGTGGTGCAGTGTGTTGGGGGTTTCTCTGTGTGTGTGTGAAGGGTGCAATAGGTGTGTATGAGGAGTGTAGTGTGTATGTGAGGAGTGCAGTGTGTGTGAGGGGTAAAGTGTGTGTGTGTGTGTGTGTGAGAGGGGTGCAGTGTGTGTAATGGATGCTGTGAGTGTGAGGGATGAAATGTGTGTGTGTGTGTGTGTGTCAGGGTCTTACCTGGGTTGGGAGTCTGTAGCGCAGATATGTTGCTCACCCTTGCAGATAGCCACAGGCCAAGGTGGTCAGGTAAGAATTCACCCGGCCTGTGGGTCTGTGCAGGATGAAGTACCAAGTCGCAGGACAGGCAAGGACTCAAACAGCAGGATCGTCAAGGGAATGCCGAGGTCAAAGGAAGCCAGAGGACAGGAACAACGAGGAGTAGCCGGAGTCAAGGGATGCCAGAGGTCAGAGTAAATGAAGACAGAAGCCAGGGTCAATAATAAGTAGTAGATCAAACAACAGGAACACTGGTACGAAACACACAACAGGATCAAAGACTTGATCCTGATCACAGGGCGAGGCTGAGTTTAAATACCCTGCTAATGTCTGATCAGGGTCAGGTGAAGCACATCCAAAGTCAAGGTACAGCCCCCAGAGTAATAGACATGCCAGGATGAACAGGACCAGAATGACATGAATATAAAAGCTGCTGTGGCTCAGAGGTAGGAAGCAGGACCAGGACTGTTAAGTTCCCCAGTTCAAGTCCCTTGTTGGGAACTCCTTGGGTGACCACGTCTGGCCGTCTGTCTGCTGCGGTGAGGATGCTGTGTGTGTGAGGGTGATGTGTGTGAGCCATTGTATCCCCCCTCCCTTCTTACCCTTAGCCTGGGAGGGGATTGTGCTGCTGCCATCCCTGGTGGTCCTAGTTCACTCTTGTGAGATTGGGGGCATAACCATGGCAACACTCTGGATCCCTTGAGAGGAACCCAGCAGAGCTGCAAGATAGAGCTCTGTCAGGTCTCCCTCCCCAGCCACATGTCTGTCCTGTGACCTCCCCTACTGACCTCGGCCAGTGTGTGCCCGATGGCCAGTCCGGACATGCGGAGCTCCTAAGAAAGAGGGATTTGGGCCTTAAATAGGGACTGGCCCTCCTAATCAGGGACACTTGGAAGCTATGCACAGGGGACGATCCTGAACACCAGCAACAGATGGAGTCATTGGTAAAATGTTCTGTGCATAAAGGGCAGCATCCACTGGGAGAGTATTGGCCTCTTCTGTTACTGTGCAAGTCTGAAGCTGCTTTGTATCTCGTATTTATAAAGAATGAGGGGGGTTGGTTTCATTCTCTCCATGTGCTAAGGAAACATAGCAGTAATTAATATCTGGGTCATTCACTAAAGTGAGAATTCAAGGTGAATTTAAAGGGAATATCAAATTTAAGGTCAAAATGGCTGAACCTGAAACATTCTCTAAGCAAGCTTTGCTTTTAATTTGGCTACTCTGGCCTTAAATGTTAAATTTACTCTTAACTGAATTCTTAATTTAAAAGCAAAGTATGTCTCCGACTGAGACTAATGTAAACCAATCAGATTTTGAATGTGTCCCCTATATTGTTTCAAAAGCTTTTTATTGAGCATTGCAAACATGAGATAAAACAAGTGATAAAGATATGTCAAGCAATCTGGACACGCAGGTCAGAGTATCAGTATCAGTACAATCGAGTTACAGTGCTATTCCTCTGTTTATGTGTCTATAGTACAAGCCTGGAATTGGCTCAACGTACATTGTAACCGTATGGGGACCAAAGGTGTCCCCTATATTAATACAGGAATTTTTTTTTCTGAATTAGGTACTTCTAAGAGCCATGTTGATATTTTTGACATCACGTTTTTTTACGGAATTGTTTTTTTATTTTTATTTTTTTGTAATTATTAAATTGTACTAACGGTTTGAAAATTGATGTATTATATAGATCCTGATTTAGATTTTCCTGGAGCCACTAGAAAGCTCAGCACGTATGTGTTATTTAATGTGCTTGGCTTTCAATGCACATGTTATAAATTATATTATTTACAGAACTCTAAATTGTAACAAATTAAAATCCAAATGGCAAAATGTACACAAAAATAAATAGCTGATTTGGAAAATTCTCCTAATTGGCTATCCTCAACGCTCTACTAGTTTAGCCAGATTTTTTTGTTTAGGTTTTAATTTGCCACTAATCAGGTTTTGGATTAACCTTGTTTGTGTCAAAGTGCATGTTGCTGGGCTGCTTCCGAATGATTTTCCTATGTTAGTGTTGAATAGCCTTGGAATCCCAGATGATTCTGAACTAAATTTCCCATGATTTTCGGGAAGCCCTAATGCTGGCATTTCATCACAGCAAGGCTATTTTAGCAACATGTGTTGTGCAAAGTGCAGCGTGTGATTTGTGTATCATATCACTTTCCGAACCGTTGCAGCGCTGGACTGCACACCTTAGGAGGAACACTTTATACATGCGCTTTGAAGGTCTTGTAAGGCAGCATTTAAAATGCCGATGCAGGTTAATGCCAGTATTACCTTTCTCGTCACTCTTCCTGCCTCTTTTGGGCCTATACCAAGAAAGAAAATTCACCACGGTGTTATATTTAGAAGGGGCCAAGCATAGAGACAAGACTTGTTTACGATAGGGACGGTAATCTAGCCATAGATACAGAGCATACACCTGTTGTTCCCTCCACTAGAGGTCTGGGATGGGGTGGGGGCCAGGGGCCAGCATATTCTCTGTCGATCTGCACTGGGCTGGAGAAATCACTAGCGAAAGATCACTTGCATTCTGTCGTTGCGTACACACGCTATAGTATAACATCACTTTAATTGACCAGGGGGATTTAAAACTCTCAAGTTGTCTTTAGAGGTCTTACTGCAGCTTCCACAAGTGAGCATTTTTAAATCACCAGGCCTTAGTGCTTTGAATATGTTGTAGCAGAGAGGTGTACCACTGATCTAGGTGTACTACTTTAAATCTCTCAAGCCAAGCCTGAGGTTTAACCCCATGTAACGCACAAGCCACGGCCGCCAGACTTCTTTCATTGCAAATCTGTCCATGAGCAGGTAGATTTATAATCAGACACACACTCTCTCAAATCTAAGGAGCAGATCTGTGGGTTTTTACTACAAAAGGGGTCTATTCACTATATGGGGAGTGATGGCGTAGTCAGAGGGAATAGCAATTTTTAGGCTAAAACAGCCAAACAGGACAAAATTATATTTTTTAAACTTTTTAATTTCTTGCAATAGTTCTTCACAATTCCCCATTTTGTGAATATAAAGGTGTATTGATACATAAGTGATGACAGACCATAGAAGAATAATAGTAAATTCATGGCAGATCTTTACCCGCTGCAGCTCGGTCTTATCTGTATGCAATGCCCACCTCCCTATTCCGTTGCATGTGTACTGTCAGATTGCGAATGAGAGTTGGGATTCTTGTCTTTGTGCTATACACTGCAACATACGGTGTATCATTTTCGGTGGTCTCCTTTTGCTTTCCTCGTCATTTGTATGTGAGCGACCAGAGGTTGCTGGTTCTTACAGTCTTTGCCAGGTAGGCTTGTTAGTCCATTGCTGCAAACCTCTTCCCAACTCCAACTAGTGGCCACAACTTTCTATCTTGATACTGTGAAATGAATATAATAGAAATCTATAGTACAAATACAATTTGTAATAAAAATTGAGCTCTTTTCTTCAGAAATGATAAAGGTTTGCCTTGATAAAAAAATAAAAAATAAAATATATTCATATGAATTGCATAGTTCATTTCATATTTCTTGCTTAACGAGCTCTAAGGTATGCATGGAGATTCAGTACTGTCCTGCTGTTTGGTGTTTGTTCTGCTATCCCCATAAAGTGCAGCATGGGCACATCATCAAACATGGTGCTCAATGTGTCTCTGGTGCACTGTTCCACCTCTGTCCTGCTCTTATACTTTTAAAACTTGGGATACAGAAGAGTTTAGTTTTAGAAAACAAAACTGAGCCTTGAAGTCGCACTCTAAGCACCACAATCAATCAAGGGTGTTGTCACGCTGCTTTAATGCTGATGCTTTATAATTCCCATCTTTTTATTCTACTACTTGTTGTCACTATGTAAAATGAAGCAAACAACCTGTTTTAAAGTCCCATCGTTCATACATTCATCTTGAATCTAGATCTGTTGACTATGAAGGTCATTTTCATACGCTGAATGCATCCGTAGAACCAGCTTGAGATAAAATATGTATTGTGACATGGCGTGTTATTCTGCTGAAAGTAGCCATCACAAGATGGGTAGATTGAGCTAATAAAGTGATTTGTGTGATCAGCAGCAATACTCGTTAGGCTCTGACATTTAAATGATGCTCTATTTGCGAATATGTACCAAACAATATCCCCGCACCATTATGTGATAAATCGGAGCTGTTGATACAAGGCTGGATGGATCAAAGGATGCAGCATTGAAGATGTAGGCCACCAAAGAAAGAGCAAAGATATGGATGCAAAACCCAAAGCAGTTATACAATGCACACATGTACTATAGTGGCCCTGTATCACCACACATGGAGTACAATCTGTGCATGACTGGAGGAAGTAGGACGATTAAAGAACAAAGCAGCTTATTAATACAGATTGACTTCGAAACACAACTAGTGTAATTTTAAGACATCGTACGGTGAGTATAATTGCCGTGGAGCTCTGTTACACACTCAGACACACTAACAACATGGAGCTCAGAGAAAAGAGGGATTTGGGCCCTTTTATGGAGCCACCATACTCTGATTGAGTATCTCCGTTAGGTCAGCTTCCTCACTGCTAGCAGAAAAGGGCTTGTTAGTCATACTGGGGACTGCCACGAAGCAGTAGAGGGTTAATATATTATTATTATAGTATAGTATCTAGCTCTAGAATTTAGAGGCAGGTTATCCCTTATATTTATGTGAACTACACTTCAATGTTGCCTTTGTTCTAAACCATGGGTGTCCAACCTGTGGCCCGGAGGCTGCTAGCAGTGCGCCCTGGTTGCCGTCCGTGCTGCCAGGCCGAGAGGGAGGTAGGGAGCCCATTCAGTGGTGTACTAATAGGGGGCGGTCCACCCTCTTAGAGCTGCGGCCTGGCAGCAGGAGGAGGAATGTGGTGGTGCACGGAGGCATGCAATGACACGCTGTCCACATGCTCCGCCCTCAGCGCAGAAGTGAGAGTCTGATGCCCGGATCAGCAGGGAGCAGCAAGCAGGCGAAAGAGCAGGGTGAGTGCTTGCTAATATTGTTGTTTGTTTTTTTGTTTGTTTCACATTGGTTTTTTTTTTTTGTGCTAGGGTCTTGAGAGGGGGCAGGTTTTTTTGTGAATGGGTGTTTTTAGGGCGTGGGCAGGGATTTTTGTAGAAGGGATGAGCAGGGATTTTTGTAGAGGTGGTGGGCAGGGATTTTTGTAGAGGTGGTGGGTAGTTTTTTTTTTTAGAGGGGGTAAGTAGGGGTTTTTGTAGAGGGGGTGGGAAGGGGTCTTGTAGAGGGGGGGCAGGTTTTTTTTGTAAATCAGGGGACGGGTTTTTGTAGGGGTGGACTGGGCAGAGATTTTGTAGAAAGGGAAGTTTTGAAGAAGGGGGACTGGGCAAAAGTTTTTGTAGAGGGGGGCTGGGCAAGGGTTTTTGTAGACGGGGAACTGGGCAGGGGTTTTTGTAGAGGGGGGACAGGGCAGGGTTTTTTGGCATCACTACTGTGCGCACGAGGGATCTGTGCATGAGGAGCACAGAGGTCCCAGGCTCCAGCCCAGCAGCAACCACTGGCCACCAGGAAGAGGATCCACTCCACCCTCCCAGAGCAAGGTAGGGAGGCTGGGTGGACCTCTTTAGTATTAAATGTGTGTGCATGTGATTTTTGTGTATGTTTTGTGAGTGAGTGGCTGTGTATGGAGGAGGGATCTGTGGATATGTCTGTATGTGTGTAAGTTTGTGATTATGTGTGTAGGTCTGTGATTGTGTATTTATATCTCTGATTATGTGTATAGGTCTGTGATTGTGTGTGTGTGTGTGTATATTTATGATTGATAGTATGTGTGTGTCAGGTATTATGTGTGAATAGATTTGTGATTGTGTGCATAGGTCTGTGATTGTGTGTGTGTGTGTATCTGTGGTTATGTGTGCATGCATATATACATGTGTATGTGTTTAGTAGATAGCACCCTAATTTGATATCCTTAAATAAGGCAATCCAACATAAGGATAACAAATAAACAACTGAAATATCAAAATTAAGAAAAGGGCTTTAAAAGATATATTAGTTAAATACATTATCTATAATCTATATGATATATTTGATGTGTGGCCCAAGACAATTCCTCTACGCTCAATGCAGCCCAGGTAAGCCAAAATGTTGGACACCCATGTTCTAAACTCTAACCCTAACTCCTTTACCACTCCCTGCTTTATATTTAAACACCCAAGGGACTGCCTTGAAGCAGTAGGGGGGTAGCATATTATTACTAGGGGTATAGAATTTATCTTTAGAATATAGAGGCTTCATATATAGATACTTCATATCTGTATTAACTACACTTTAATGTTTCCTTTTTTCTAAACTTTAATTCTTACTCCAATACTACTTCCTGTTTTGAATTCAAACATTGCTTTCATACCAAATGCTACCATCTAGCAATCTGTATACCAAGTTAATTGTCCCTTCTTGCAGTCTAATGGGAGTTCTAAGTGATATTTTCTAGTTTCACTGATTGATCACTTGGTTATATAACATCACATTTTTGTAACATCTAATTAATTATACTAGGTGGCTACCAATTAGATACAGTATATCTGTCTCATTCCCTTACAGGAGGTTTAGTTAACAGAGGAGATTTATTCATTGTCTCTACTTCCTCCGTATGTTGCCAGTTTACTTCCAATATAGGAATACTTTTAGTATTTATAATACAGCTACAATCCATATATCTCTCTAAATCATATCTCATAATTCGATAGGAATAGTCTACTAACCACAGTAGCCTTTTCACGCAATCACGTCTGTAGAGCACACTATTTTTGGTGGGTTGTTTATATAAGTTATATTTAAATGAATAAAGTTAGCATTTTACCTCGATATAGTGACTTCAATTAATGTGAATTTCCCACTTTGTTGGGTCTTTCTCAAACTCTCTTTCTTTATCCCCCATATATTAGTTGAGACTGAATGCAGGCGAGTAGAATGCAGCTTTATTGAACACACACAGCTATTTATACACACAATTGTGGATTCCTAGACCAGAGGATCCTCCATGCAATGCAATGCCCTTTACAATAGTCCCACCCAGGCACCACTCTGTTTGGGGTCTTGATTGCTTTTCCTGGACGGTACCCCCACACATTATATATCCCTGGATAGCTCTCCAGCAAGCGCCCACGTTGACCAAATAATGCCCTGATCGGGAAATCCGTGCCCAAGTCAAAGTTTGACCAGGTCGCGGCTATTATCCGATCAAGCTCAGAGTTCGAAGCATGTGGCTGCTGGAAGTAGCCGCACGCTACTTACAAAATGGGTCAGGAACTCAATGCTAAGGATTGATCCAGCAATCCCTGTTGGTCACCACTTCCGACGGGGAGGCAGAATAAGCATTCAGGGTGAACTACATACCCTCTTTCCATAGTAATAATAGCCCTTTTTCATCCATGTTGGAACAGAGTTCCGTGACAGACATAAAATATACCTTTAAACATAACTTTTCATTTTTTCCCTTACATACCAGTATGGACCTCCAGTTGCATGGCTCTGTTCACTTCCCCAATAACTTTTCATATGCCCTTCCATCCATCCATCCATCCATCCCTCCATCAATATTTGTTTGCTAATTTGTATTTACATCCTCATCCATTCCACTTATCTCTGGCTCAACACCCTCGCTGTAAATCTTTGTCACATATTTAGCATCCACACCAAAGGGATTCCCTCAATTAGTTTATATTTTTTTGTTTTAAAACATAGTGCGGCATGAATGCAATGAACTCTCAGTGGACATTTCCAACCCAACCAGCCTACACCAGCTGTCCTCGTCCATCTGCTGGGTAAGATGTGATATAGGAAAGATTTAGTGATGCAAACAGGTGTCAATCGAGAAGAGGAGCAGTGTGTGTAATAGTAGAGGCCCAGGCGTGTGTGCAATAATATGCTCAGTGTCAAGTGCTCCCTGTCATGCTTTTGCCATAGACTGCATCCCCACTGTAAGATAAGATGGGAATTTGTCCTTAGTGATTTGTCATTCAGGGATTCCCTTGCACGGTTCCCTTAAAGATGTGTTCCATAGGAAAAGCCACTCTTTCTTGGAAAAGTCTTCTTCCTTATTCTCAGAGCAAAAATGATGCAACTGAAAAGCTATCAATTACACTTGCCTATGATAAAATATATCTGGGGTGCTTATCCCTCCACCTTCAAAATTGATCTCTCTTATAATTTATCATTATAACCGAGCTGTGGCCATCTTGTTTACTAGGGTATATTGTTTTAGCTTCAGTGATTCCAGAATAATACAGTTTATTGAGAATTGTAAATTTCAGGCCAAAAAAGCAGAGTTTAAAAAAGAATCGAGCTGGAAATATTTGCATTGGGGAAATTTTGGAAATGTACAATTCCACAAGTAACTGCATAAAACGTTCTGTCTTGGATAGATCTTACGTCTATCACCCTGGACAATAATGAAAGGGTGCTTGTCATGGTACCTATAATAACTTATGTTCTTTTGAAAGATCATACAATTTCATCTATTCCACACATAACTGCGCGTACTCTGTGGTTGCTACGGTAACTCCCTAGGCTATGGCATACAGGACCAGAGTGACTGCCAGAGTGTTATCATCACAGGGGGTGCTTGTCCTGCTTGGGGAAGGGTCCCTAATCATGGCAAATCAAAGAAGAGACCAGGCAGAGCGCAAAACTGTTTACATGTTGTATTAAATATATCTGGCCTAGTCATACACTTATAATATATTTCTATTAATACATTTCCATCTAGGAGCCAAGAGTCTCCTCCCTCTTTCTCTTGGAAAGTCTTGAGCCTTTTTAGCTGTGAAACAGGTTCATGTTAGGTTAATGGACATGGAGTAAGGAACCAGTCAAGGTTTATTAGGTGAAATCGTATACTTTTTGTCCAATTAGAGTGCTATATACAAGAGCATAAGTAAAAACATCAAGGAATGAGTAATTGGTAATTGTTTTCAAATCAGCTACAACCCTGCTAAGTTTAACAGATTTGCTGTTGGGAGATGGAATGGAGGGGAAGTCGGCTGATGGGGAGCATGCTCTCTCTCACATGTGTGGATGATAGGATGCATAATAGAGTAGATGAGCAGGACTACCCACATGATGATCTGTGTTGAGTGATGCTTGAAATGTCTTCTAAATCATCACGGGTGCAGCAAGTGTGTACACTTTGCTCCAGTCCTCCAGACACTTTGTGACAGAGAATATCTCTGTAGGGTTATTGAGAGGACTGTTTGCAACTCTTGTGTCACACTATTTTGATCTAAAATGTCCACAATTCACTGCTTAGTCAACAAATCCTCAGATTTTGGCAGATTTCTACAGAGGAAAACCTTAACAAGCATATCTCAAATTCTTTCCTGGGTGTTCCCTTCTGGGAAAACCAGTTTCTAAATCAGGAGGCTGGGGATATCAAATCACCCCTAATATAAGTATGAGATGACGGCAGCTCAGAAAGCACCACGGATCTTGGCTGGCCTTTAGTGTCCTCAAGAAGACATCTAGCTTCAATTAAAATACATCAAATTTACCTTGTCGAATGAATTTCACAAACAGGATTATTCTCTAAAGTGAGAATTCAAATTGAAGTTAAAGTGAATTTCAAATTTACGGGCAAAGTAGACAAATTGGAAACATTCCAGTCAGCAATGCTGTGTTTGGGTACTCTGGTCTTCTTCAATTTGAAAGTCTCTTTGAATTCACATTATAATTCTCACTTTTAAAAAATAACCCTGATAATCTTTACATTTTACCATAAATACGAGAGGATAATTTACTTTTTAAATGTGGTAATCCCAAGACCCGTTTGAAAGGATATACTAATTAAATGATAAAATCTGGATGTCAACAAAAACACAACCTTTAGCATTAGTAGTAACTTACTAGTTATTGATAATTCTTATTCAAAGTATATCCATGATGGATAGTTCTGTTATGTATGTCACGGACATCCTTGTGATCTTTTTATAAAAACTATTACTTTTTTTTAAATTAAACAGTAAATGGTTAGGAACAACCCTGGTAAATACAACATTTAGACTAAAATAGCTCATTAGAAAACATTTTCTGAAAGATTTCTTTTGGGATAAAATATACAATTAGTGAATACTCCTGTACAGTTAATACCTGCACTCATTTTATGGTTAACAAAGGATTACTTTTCAGAGAGATTTCATGTTAGGTGCCATACGCGATGCTAACACCATTACACCAATGGTTGGTGTCAGTATGTCCAACAATAAGAATTGAAAACACAAGGATGATGAGCAGTAGTAGGTAATGAAGGCGTTAGGCAAACGTGGCGATATGATGCTCATTGCTATAGTAAATGCACCAGAGAACCAATGTGTATATAGGTGAGATATAGGTAAAGTGCCCAAAGCTAGAGATTTGGGCTTAGAAGAGGCACTCATAGTAAGAGAATATAAAGTTGACTGCTTGCACATCTTTCCCTCAGATTTGCATGTAAAGCCTCTATACATGCCCAATGAAATTTAAAATGTTCTAGAACTGCCATCTTCTAGAATCTGACCCTACACCCCAACCATTACTTCCATTTTTGGTACATACAGTATAGGTAAGTGCACATGGAAGTGGTGATCTTCTATAATAGGTTGATGAACAAGAGCTTCCGTAGTTGGCACCAGACCAACGTACCTTTGGTCCTACATACCTTTGCATCTGATTGAGTAATGGGTAATTGCATTGCTGTTAACCATATCCTACAGAACCATAAACCTCCAGTTGTCATAACTGGTGGCATCACATTTAGTAGTAATGAATCCCCAGTATTTTACCTGTTGATTAATTCAATTGTTTGAATGCATTTTTAGACAACTACCTTTTCCAGAGCTAGTCCACATAAGTAACATTTCTTGGCTGTCGAACTTAAAGGACAACTGACACCTCAAAACTATTGTTAATTTAACATTCCTAGTACCAAGTTTTGCAAGGAAATAGATTTTAATGAAGTATATGTAAAAATAGAAAAACTCATCTGTACCTTTAATATGACAATCCTTCAGCCCTATACATTCACCTTGGGTCAGACCGTGTTTGAAAACCACCAGTTATTGGTCTTGATCTTCCGATCTTCACTTTTTTAAATCTCTGCACAGGAGGTACGGCCACAGTCCATCTGTTGAAAACCATCTGTTGGTTTTCAAACACTGTTTGACAAGACAAGCATATATCTACGACTGAAGGTTCCTGTCATATACTAAAGGTAGGGATGAGTTTTTCAAAAATTCTTTTTTACATATACTTCATTTTAAAAATATCTATATAATTTCAATACTTTATGTAACGATTATTATTATATAATTGCAGTTTGTAAAACCTAATGCAGCTTATCAATGCCAAAAAAGTCGATTTTCATCTCTGCTGTCAATAGGTCATTCTTCAGTAGTTATTTGAACTATTCAGGTGATGTTTTGAATAGAAGTGGTCTCTTTCTTGGTATCTTCTCACACTCCAGATCTTCAGATCTATAATCATTGCTGCGATCCTTCAGAGCATACCTCATATCTTGCCTTCCTGTTAATGTAAGTGTTGATTTCAGTGGCTTCTGTTTTGAGTTTGTTTTTGTTTTTTTTATTTCGTCTGTTCTGTTACTATAATCATTGCTTACTTATTCAATATTATTTAACATCTATGTTCTCTCTTTACCAGGCGATTACAAATTGCTTCATAAAAACCTCAGAGATCTGCATTCTGAACAGTAATTTCATTTTATACTTTTGATTGTTTTGTAACCATATGTTAAAGGAACCGTCCAAGAACCATAACCACTACTTCCCCATTGTAAGTACCATTGCTTTTTGATTTCTTACCTGGCATCCACCAGGAGCTGCTCCCTGCCTCCACTACTTCTGATAGGATGTTGGAAGCTCTCTCTCTGATCTAGCCAAGTGGTGCAGGGCTCAGTTCACTGACTAAGAATGATCAGCTGACGCTCTAGGTTAATGACCTGGCTTTGCAACGCAAGGCCTCTGGCTTTCTGGCAGAAGTAATAGAGGCATATAGTGGTGCCTGTGGACCCTGGTTGAGAAGTTGGACTGTTCCAAAACCATTTCACTACTGACAATGAGGAGGTACCAATACTGTCCCCATAGCTACTATGGTGCTTAGAGTGTTCCTTTAATTGTTTGTGCTTACCTAGGGTTCTGCTGTTGTTCCTTGTCATCTGCTGGACACGTCCTGATATCTGAAATGAGCTTCTCTGCTATCCTGATGCCTGATTTGGAAAGACGTTCCTAGACCTCTTTAATGTTTATGCATATATATTGCTACTTCTAGATCCTGTTCAAATGACTGCACCTTCTCTCCTTGTTAGATACTTGTATGTATGCTAATATCTAATGGGTTTTTTTTCTCTGTGGGAGGCCAGTGATAGATTGAGGGCATTAATTGAGGCTGGATCCCGAGGAGGAGGCCGTGGGGCCATGAGGATGAGTGTCATCAAGAGTACTTTGGGGTTAAACCACCCATAAACAGTTTACACGCTCACGTTAACCCTGCACCCATAACTTCCAGGCACCATAATGACTTTATGGAACTGAAGTTGTTATGGTTCCTAGAGTGCCCTTTTAATCTGTAGTGTCTTCGGTCCATAACGTCTTTAGAAATGGTTTTGTAAACTTTCACAGACTCACCACTTTCTGTAAACTCTATTTGCTTACTTACACAAAGCTGCAAATCAGTCTGTGATAGTGACATTCACAGTTTGTGTTTGATTTACAGAACATGAGCCCTCCAATGCAAAACTGTTTTTCATTTAAAGGGGTAGTGTAGGCACCATAACCACTACAGTTTGCTTTAGTGGACATGGTGCTAGAAATCCCCGGTGGCCAGTCCACAATAAGCAATCAAACCATATTCCAACTGCTTGACATTTGCCTGACGGACGTCTGGCCTGACCACCTCTACTGATATTACTAATGGTTCTACTTCTTTATCTGTGATTTCAGTTCTACTCGTGTTTGGATGGAATTTGTTGGCTAACGCTGTGTTAGCTGACTCTGTGTTCTAGTGAATCCCATCCAAATAGGGATGATGTTGAAATTTTTATTGAGGAAGGGGGAGTTTTGGTCTAGCTATACCATTAAAGAAGGCTGGATTGGAGGCACCTATGGGAGCCAGGTAGATGTCAAGCTGTCTGAAAACCCACATGACTTCATACAGTGGGTCAGCATCAAGTGACTCCTGGCACCATAACCACTTAAGCATTCAGTTGTGGCTATGGTTCCTAGAGTGCCTCTTTAACTCAAGTTACCCAATTAATAGACTTATTTGCCCTAGTGATTCACATTCACAAATATGTAAACAACAAAATGGAGATGGATTAACATGTTCAATAAAGAGATGGATTAACATGTTATAATAACTTTAATTTTTGTATTCTTCCTTGGCATCTAATCTTAGTGCAAACTGGTGTATATTTTTATCCGTTACTCTCACTAATGTGAAGATTATATTGCATTTCATGACTAATCAGGTCCGGCATCCGTGCTGGGATGTTGATGTTTAAAATATTGGATTTTATAGTTTCAGGTAACAATTTAGGGGGGGGGAGGGGGTACGACCTGTAATAAGTACACTGCTTCAAGTCCTTGCCCTCTGGGTATAATGTATATGTTTGCTGCGAGAAACTGGGAAGGGATGGCCTTGCCTCAATGAACTGTTGAAAAGTGTAAGCAAATTATCATAGATTCCCACCTGGGCTATTTGGTCCTGCATATGTTGTATGTGTCCGGTCGAGTCCCTTATTCAGGCGAGCAGTGTTTAAGCTTGGTGTTTATTAATCATGCAAGCAAACCTCACTGTTTATAAAGAAATAAACTAATGTTTAAATGAGGGATCTCTGATAGAGGCTTTGTAGCTGTTAAGATAGTTTGCCTCACTTTTCTGTCAATTTTTGGAAGGTGGTTAAGTCTTGGGAAAGTTTGTGGTTGGTTTTTAGTGTGTGTGGAGGTTTATTGCAAAATGCATGCATACAAATTTTCCTCTGGATTGTAAGCTCATTGGGCCTTATTGAATAGTACCTTTAAGGAAGCTACCTTAGAAGAAGCTATGGTCCATGGTAGGGAGTCCCATGCCCAGCAGGGATGTGTTTACGAAGAGACGACTTCTTCATCACAAATCTAACACTATTGGACTAGGAGTGTTTCAGATAACCATTACTGGGCTTTGGTTTCCCACAGCAAACATCTCACCTAGATGGTAATTGAGAGATGGTTCTCATAGTTTTTCAGAGAATATATTTTCTTTCCAATACCATTGGACTTTTTGAAGGTTTATGTGAATCATTTATCCCATTATGTGTGAGGAAGGGTTTGTTACACTTGCCTACAGTGAGGGAAAAAGTATTTGATTTTAAAACATTTGTCTACTGACCAAGAAATGATCAGTCTATAATTTTAATGGTAGGTATATTTTAACAGTGAGAGACAGAATAACAAAAAAAAAAATCCAGAAAAACGCATGTCAATTGGTAACACACTATGCCGTGAAGGACTGAAATCCTGCAGCACCCGTAAGGTCCCCCTGCTTAAGAAAGCACATGTACAGGCCCGTCTGAAGTTTGCCAATGAACATCTGAATGATTCAGAGGAGAACTGTGTGAAAGTGTTGTGGTCAGATGAGATCAGAATCGAGCTCTTTGGCATTAACCCAACTCGCCGTGTTTGGAGGAGGAGGAATGCTGCCTATGACCCCAAGAACACCATCCCCACCGTCAAACATGGAGGTGGAAACATTATGCTTTGGGGGTGTTTTTCTGCTAAGTGGACAGGACAACTGCACCGCATCAAAGGGATGATGGACGGGACTATGTACTGTCAAATCTTGGCTGAGAACCTCCTTCCCTCAGCCAGGGCATTAAAAATGGATCATGGATGGTGTGACGAGACCAATCTCGCCACATTGCATTGGAGAAACCTGGTTGCTCGCCTGTTGCCTTTGGATTATGGCCCCATGTTAAAAGCCTCCTTTTTCCCCTGCAGAAAAGGCTTATTCGTGCCTTTCTGCCCAGTGTTCGGTAGATTCAATCTACCGAACTAACACACGAATGACTGGACCACCTGGGAGCTGGAATGTGTCGGCAATTAACCTCCCAGAAGCTGCGGTTAACCGCAGCTTAACTGACGGATGCTGGGTGGCCGCCATTCGTATACCGAACACGAGGTCGCGGCCATTTTAAACACGCAAACGCACAGCAAAGTTCGACGCCCAACTCATGGAACTGAAAACGGATACATTTTGGCGCGAACACTGCTGAAGCCGCCGACCTCCCTTCTTGTTCGGTAGACGTACACGAACGGCCCTATTTTCGGTAGTTGTACCTGACTACACCATACCCCAGATAGGAATCCCGTGGAGCTTATTCATACGAGAACTGACTTTGTGAACACTTTGGCTCCACGGCGATTGGACTGTGTGCATAGGATCTGAGCGCTATTCTGTACTTTGGTGCGCTCAGATCCTAGCTATCTGGGGACATGTTGAATGCCTGTAAAATGTTGTAAAATATAACAGTTCTGTTTTTTATGTATTTTTGTTATTGTCATCTAAAATGGCGTTTAGGCTCTGTCCTGGGAGATAATTGAATTACTTCACAATTATCTCCCTGAGCAGAGCAGAGGGTGCTGAGTAAGAAAGGGGAATGGCTAAGTGTGTACCCTGTGATTAGTTGCTACAATGTCCTTGTCACAGTCTTCCATCTGGTCCCCTAGGGGAGTGTCCACCAGGTAGGAGACCTGCATAAATACTGGGCAGGTAGCCCTCATTAAACAGACCACTGCTTGACGCTCAACACAGAGCCTTGTCTCGTCTTTGGGGGGATTTACTGTATGCTGATAGAGACTGATTCCTAGAAGTGTAAGCCGCTTGGGGGCTTTTCCTATTCGTCTGCTAGCAGCTATTCGTGAGGTTCCAGTTCGGGAGTTTGGAGTGCTATATTGTATGCAGTTCGGGAGTTTAGAGCATTCCCTTATAAAAAACATCTAACCTCTGTGATTGCCAACAAGGGTTTTGTCACCAAGTATTACGTGGAAGGGGTCAAATACTTATTTTATTAATTAACATGCAAATCAGTTTATAACTTTTTGACATACGTTTTTCAGGATCCATTTAAATTATAGACTGATCATTTCTTTGTCAGTGGGCAAACGTTTAAAATCAGCAGGGGATCAAATACTTTCCCCCCTCACTGTAAGCCCTTAGTACACAGGCACTCGAATCCATCCACCTACAAATCAGACATCAATGGCCCTGGATAGTCCTCCCCATGCATAGTAGGAGTCAGTTACTTGAATTTATAATATAACCATAACCAACACAAATATATTCTGGATAACATATTATATACTAAAATACAAACTATAACATAAAATATACTAAAATAGAAACGGTAGAAAAATAATAGCAGATCTATGTTGTTTCTCTAAGTGAAATAATTGAAGTATACGTCTCTTGGATTTCCACACAGTCACATCTATTTATAACTCCAAGAACCTTAATGGAGCCCCACTTCTTCAAAACAGAAAACACACGATAATCACTTTAAAGGGGCATGTTTTCTGCAACGAGGAAAACTCAGCAGAAATATTTGAAAAATGATAGGAGAGAAAAAAAAAGTACGAAATGAACTCACTGAAAGCCATTGACCTCAAAGTCATAAAGCAGGAGCTGCAGTCAGATTACGTTCATCCCACACGGTCCAGTTACAACTCCTTGAGACCAGCAATCTAAACTATGCTATCAGTCTAATTTTAACCCGCCGTCTCAGCAGTAAGAGTACAGACAAACAGATCCCAAAGGTTACTAGAAACATTGAGAGACTGATAGACCTTTTTCTGCTGAAGGGTCCATGCTACCTTCTGATCAGGCGATGGAACCTTTAGAGTTTAATTGGCATATATACAGTCGAAGGCTACCTTCAGCTTTCCTCATGTTGAAGAACTACATGTCTCATGATGCTTTTTCATGCTTGTTCTTCAAAAGCTCCTGTATTCCTCTACCAATCCAGATATTGGCTGCTATTGCACCTCATGGGATGGTCATGATCACCACAAGCTCTCTATGTCAGGTATTAAGAGACGTGGGCACACTGGTTGGCACAAAGTTTGGTCAAATACATAAGTCATGCCTCAGAGGATATCATAAGTCATGCCTCAGCACCATAACTACTTGCTGGTGTGGTTATAGTGCAAGGAGTGTCCAAACTTCATTGTGAATAGCCAAGCTGTACAGTACCTTCTCATTTCTGCATTTTCCGCCAATTCCACATCATTCTGGCATCTATTGGCATCTATTTTGATGCTGAGAATGGCTATGCCTGTATTATCTGTCTGACCCCACTACATTCTGGTGTCAATTATGATGTTGGAAGCTACTACACTACATTATTTTATAATGAAATATTTGTGTATCAAAATAGACCCGTTGACCCGTTGCCTATTAAGGCACACAAAGTTTTTCTGTGCGCAGTATTAATACAGACAGCGTTGATTTCACAGTACTTATTTGGACATCGATCGTGCTTGACTCCAGTGCCCTGTTGTGGTTTCTCGTATACCCAATAGCGCACTATGTATCTCTATGATTCTTTGGTATTTGACCTGGCTTGTCATGACTATTTCGGCCACTGGTTTCCTTTTAAAATACAGTGCGGTATAAGTGACAAAGACCTACACCTGTAAGTGGAGCGCTCAAACAAATATAAGGCTTACCAAGCGTGACTTAATCCAATAGTACAATATGAAGTACATGCCAAAAAAATACAAAAAGATACAATATAGTGCAGATGGTATTTAAAATTGCAATACAGAAATAATAATATCGTAGCAAACTGTACACTCACATTTTTAAGGAGCCTGTATATAAAAAAAACTGGCTCCGTATTAAGGCTTGTGTGCTTTTTTTGGTAGCACCACCCTTCCGCTTCGGCTTGGAGTAGTTCTCATAAATAAGACATAAAAGGAGAACGAACCAATGTGTAGACTGTAGCGATAAAAACACGGATGTAAAATAATAAATGTGGTGCTCACCTGGTCCTGAGCCTATGGGACCGGCTCTAAGGTGTATAGATGTGGTGCCAATTTAAATAGGGATGGCACGGCCCATATGAAGATTCCTAGAGGCTCCAAAAAGGACTTGAGCAGGATATCTTGAGTAAAATAAAAAAATTATTGATATACAATAATAATAAAAATACATGGTAAAAAAATCATTAGTAAAAGTCCTTTAAAATGGCCAATACGCGTTTCACTCTCAATTTAGCTTCCTCAGTCAAAATGGCCAATACGCGTTTCACTCTCAATAGAGCTTCCTCAGTCAAATATTTTCATGGAATTCTATGAAGGATTCATTCATTGTGTCAGTCTGATCCTTTCTAGTCATTACTGAGATCTCATTAACAATGTAAACTAGTCAGCTTTCAGAGGCATTGCTGGGATGGAAGGAATTATTACACAGTGCGTGACTGGCTACCAAAATAAGCCTGACTTTCATATGAGCATTCTTCAAGAACACATTAATAAATCAAAAAAATCCACTTGTCAGATGCATTTTGGCAGTTGAGACATTTAACACTCCGAAGTCTAGGTTTGCTGAAAGCTTAATCATGTGCTTATGGAAGTGTTCTGTATTATTGGCACAATGTCACATGACATCACCGAATGACATAATGAAACAACAACCCCTTGGTTATTTTTAATGAATTGGAAATTCTAAAAATAAATCAGTTGAAAAAGATGAGTATTATAAGGTTCACAAAGGATTTGGACAAGATGATTAAAGAATCAACATAAACAATGCAATGTAGTGGTATCTGCTGCCCAAGAGTTTTTAAAAGGCACCTTCTATAATATTCTATTTTTTCAGAATTTTTCTTCCATGCATTTCACACTTCATTTACAGTAGGGATGTGCATGGGCAAAAAATTTGTATTGGTTCGGCAACCAAACCCTAACCTTACCCTTAACCAACAACCACTTGCAGGTCTGGGGTTAGGGGTATGGTTAGGGTTAGATTCCTGTCATCATTCCCGTAATTTTCCCTTCCTCTCTTGTTTTGCCACTTTTCAGTAATCCGAAGCACTTCGGCACTTCAGAAATTCGGCACTTCAGCAATTCGGTTCGGTTCAGCACTTCCGAAATCCGGCACTTCGGCAATTCGTTTTGTATTGGCACTTTGGAAATTCGGTAATTCTGACATTTCGCCGAATTTACATTCGGAATGAAACGAATTGCACATGTCTAATTTACAGAATCTCGTTATTAACACACTCTTTGTTCAGGGGCTTAACTATGGAATTATATTTTCAAGTGTGTGAAAATATTTTGCGAACCCCGCATTGCTGTTTAAGTAGTCAATCTCATCCATCTGCTGCTTACCTTCTTCAGGGTTAGGAAAGTAGACTTGAATCCAAGATCTTCAGTGTATGTTGTCTGTCTATCAGGAGAACATTCTGTGGAGCTATTTACCCCACTCTTTCCATTGCTTAAGAGGGTTTAGATGTTCAATCACAACTCCCCATCACACTAAAATATTATCATATATATTATATGTATATTGAATTTTGAACATGAAAACCCTTTACTATACTTTTAGAGGATCCCCTTCAAATGTAATTTTTTATGGTGCCTTGAAAGAGTGGCCACAGGGTGTAATAAATGTCTACTGATTTAGGAACTATAACCATTTCATCATCTCATTGAACTGGTTATAGTTCCCTGGCACTGTCTCTATTTTTCAAACAATGTTTGAGCAGTTTAACACTACATAATGGTTCTTTACCATCCACAGTCTGGACCCCACTGGAGTTATGGCTAACATAGATATTACACACTTCCTTCTAGCCATGTAAATTTAATCCAACAATGGGCACTGTGATAGGCTGAATTCTGTCAGCTGACACTTCCATATCCTCAAACATCAGCTGTCCCAGAATCAAGGGGTGGGCCAGTGAAGTGATTGCGTCACTGGCTCTGCCCAAAAGGGGGAAGACCTGCCCAAAAAGGGGCATGCCAACCACATTACTGGCAGGTCTTCCCGACACCATGCCGCCTGCCAAGGGTCACTGTGGGTCACTGAGGGCTGAACCAGCAGGGAACACTGTCTTAGGGTCCTAGCGCTCTAAACATAGCACATTTTATGATGCGCTCATACTATGACTGCTAGATTTTCAGATACTGTTCCACCATAATCCTCTGGTTTACCACTTCTGGGGACACCAGAAGACTACGGTGCAACACAACCTGAAAAACACAGTTGTCTATTGCTGCTTAGGCTAATACTTTCTATACTCCCCCCACAAGTGAGACATAAGATTTGCAGCTGTGAACTATCGCCTAGTTTTAAATCATTAAAAATGGTTGAATGATGAATGGAAGGACAGAGCCGAGGGATACTACAACCACTGCAACGACATGAAGCAGTTACAGTGTCTACAGTGTCCATTTAACTTTTAAAGTTATTCTTTAGACCAGGGACTTGGCTACAATTGACAAACAATTTCCAAATTATAATTAGAAACAACCAATATGGAAAAATAGATGAATTAGAGAATTTTAAAATGTTGATGTTTTAATTACACAACTGCGTTAGAATGAATTTGAAGTCTATTTATGGTGTTTCTTCACTAAACTGAAAATTGTGTTGAAATACAACGTTTAGATGAAAATAAGTGATTCGGAATCTCCTAGTCAACTGGTGGGGTGTTATGGGGTAACATTTTCAATCCCATAGTTACACAGTAAAGTAAATGGTACAAAAATATTAAGCTCAGTCTTTCACATATCTTCATGTGTTTTTTTGTTTTAAATGTCGTTATTCTTCAATACAGGCAGTTTATTTTCTCACCCAGCATAAAACTGCATTCATTTTTATAATTCGTGAATCACACAGCCGTTGTATTATTGATAATAATCATATATATTATATTATCTTCTGTAAAACGGTATACTGCTAAGTGTTTTCCCGCATTCACTGATATTATATTTTATATGACGTCCAGATATAAAACTGGGAGAATTTTCAGGAGCAGGCCTCAAGTAATGTTTCAGTTTGATTTGCGGTTTGAAACTCTTAGCCCAATGAAACTCCCCCATGTGTTCTAAATGTTCTAAAACCTTAAGTATTAGATTGTTTACCTTATCTCATATCCAGAATAGCCCAATTCCTCCTACACACATCCTTAGTGTAAACAAAGAACGTTACCTGCGCTCTGGCCTGAATCCCCATGTACATTTAAACAAAATGGAGGCTCTTTAGTTTTATTCCAATGGCCATTTGAATATATAAGCTCACCAGCCACGTCAAGGCAAGCCTCAATAGGGGAGTCCTACACTAGCCATTACACATCCTTAGTGTATTTACTGCTTCTGCTCCTTCTGAAGAGGAGGAGTGATATTTGTTTAAGAAGTATTTTTGGTATTAATTACATTTAAATTCATCATTAAATATATATTAAGTTCTAAAATTTGCGCCATTACCAAGGGAATCTTCCAGCTATTGGTATCTTGCATAGGTGGTTATAACTGGGGACACCTAGATGCAGGAGACAGGTAGGATAAAAATGTAAAGCCTGTGAGATATCTATCTGTTCATCCTGTTTGTATTTTCCCAATAATCTCAATCCATCCTGGTCAGTTCTGCACAGCTCATGGTTTATCTATACTTGTTGAAAATATGTATAAAAAGTCAAATTAAAATGTCACTTTTAAACAGTGTGAAGTTCTGATGATGCTGCATTCATTTGAGAGCAGTCTTGTTAATTCACAGATAAACGACTGAAGAGGATCCTGCCACAGTGAAGACATTTAGGGTAGTATTAGGGGGACTTGGAGTTAGGGGGGGCTTAAAGTTGCCTTCAAGATACTATGGACTATACTCCCATGGTGTGTAGCAGGATGCCCCCTAACCCTAAACTATCTTAATTCTAAGCCCTATAACACTGACCGTGCTATTATGTATACCTTCTTCATCAACCTATTGTCGGAATATTTTAAATACTTTTAATTTCAATATTTTAAAAGCAAATCAAGTCCAAATGAATACTTTTTCATTGTCTCTCAGAAATACCAAAATACTTTAAATTGCAAAACACAAATAAATAATATGTAATGAAACTCATCTAGGGTAGCAGTCTTATGAACTCTAAAAAAAATACATAGAGAAGAAAAAATTTGAAATAAATAAATGATTTTATTATCTGATAAAATAGCATTTCCCAAGATACATGTTTAAGATGCACCCACGGCGCTAGCCACGAAGCCTTTGGCACTCTTTGTTTTCGTATCAGTCCCGTGTAAACATTTAGCATAAACATTTTCTCTTGTTCATTAAGATATAACCATAGTATACGCAAATTACACCAATGCACTCGCAAAAAGCAGCGTTTTGCATTTTTGTTTAAAGTTTTGTTTCGTCTCTGTATTGTCTTTATATTTATACCCATGTCGTCTGTAATACTTACAACAAATTAGAAATTCATTTTGTATGTAACAGTTCACACTCTGAAGCAAAAGCCAATCTCTCGTTACCATTTCAGAATTCTTCAAATGACTAGACACATTATTTTGCAACATGTCAACAAGTCACATTGGACATGTCCCATCACAAGCAGGTCACTTCTGTTCAGTGGTCGTCTTGTTGGATTGAAAGGCTCATTAGAACAAAACAACTATGTGGTTTATTTTGTCAGACCTTTTGGCAAGTTGGTTGATTGAACCAATTATAGTCCTCTGGTGAGTTTGTAATGGCTATGACCTCTTGTCCATAAGTCAGTCATAGAGGTAGTGATGGCATTCACAGCTTCCTGCAGGCTGCTGTAGTACAAATTGTTTGTATAATGAAAATGTAAAGAGTGTTGAGAATAGAATAGTTTCCTGGTTGAAGGCCACGTAGCAAATTAATAGACTTGATTTTTATAAATGTTGGTGGATGTAAATTGAAAATATTAAATAACAGAACCTATACATATCCTACTAAACAATATATTTAATCTGATATAATTAAAATTTATGAATTTTGTTGTTAATGACATAGTTGATAAAACTAACCAAGTTGTGGTTTTCTTTCCATTTACTCCCCGATACATGCTCCCCGTTGCAGATTAAAGGGAATGCATCACATGCTTACACTGCTATCAGTTAAGAAATGCAAAGTACTTTTTCTGAACTTCTTGCCGGTTCTGCTTACCGTTACCTCTTTTTTAAAACATGCATGACTTTTTAATTCCATAATTCGTTCTCTTTCAGTGTTATGAAAGAATTGGAATCCCTACTCCTGTGATTTAAGCAATGATTTTGACTAGTGTCCATCTTAAATTGAAAAAATTCCTATAACATGTTTCTAAAAGTATCCTTTTATTTTAACATTCCTTTTTTTTAATATACAGTACGTGGACAACTTTCATTGGTTGTGGTATCATTGCTAGCTGAAATATGAATGATGACTTTGAAATTACTTTAGGTGATCACCGTTCCTCAAATTTGATCCTCAACTTTTATATCTTAATATTGTTACATAAGTACAAGTGTATTTTTGAAAAACATCCATTTGGGCTCATATAAGGAGAAGAGACAAATGGTCAGTAATTGGTAAAGCTGGGCAATAATAACTCTGAGAGCATAAGATGTTGCCAGTATGTCAACAGTGCCACCATAGATAAACTTCTAATCTGCTTCTATTTGGCTCCTGTTGTCTGAATCTCTATTTTCATAAAGTACACAAAAGTACTTTTTTCCCCTCATGTATAGCAGACTAATTGACAATATTTGGCAATAGGAGCAGCTTAACATAAGGTTCTGTTTTCGTTGCCACTTAAATGTATGCATAATCTGTCAGTAAAATCAATCCCAGAGTAGGGCCAGCAATAGACATAATGGGCAGAGGAGAACAAAATGGCAGCAGCCAGGGATTGAGACGTATCACAAGGAAGACAAATTAATAAATATAAATAAAGGGAGGGCATATAATGATGAAGCTGGGGGGGGGGGGGAGGGGTGGCATAAAAAAAATGAAAAGGAAAAAGAAATAACAGAGCCACTTTAATTTGATTAGAAAACATAAAATGCTTGCCAAGTTATTAAAGGAACACTATAGTCTCCTAAATTACTTTAGCTAAATAAAGCAGTTTTAGTGTATAGATCATTCCCCTGCAATTTCACTGCTCAATTCACAGTCATTTAGGAGTTAAATCACTTTGTTTCTGTTAATGCAGCCCTAGCCACACCTCTCTGGCTATGATTGACAGAGTCTGCATGGAAAAAAAACTGGTTTCACTTTCAAACAGATGTAATTTACCTTAAATAATTGTATCTCAATCTCTAAATTGAACTTTAATCCCATACAGGAGGCTCTTGCAGGGTCTAGAAAGCTATTAACATAGCAGGTGATAAGAAAATCTTAATTAAACAGAACTTGCAATAAAGAAAGCCTAAATAGGGCTCTCTTTACAGGAAGTGTTTATGGAAGGCTGTGCAAGTCACATGCAGGGAGGTGTGACTAGGGTTCATAAACAAACGGATTTAACTCCTAAATGGCAGAGGATTGAGCAGTGAGGCTGCAGGGTCATGTACTATACACCAAAACTGCTTAATTAAGCTAAAGTTGTTCAGGTGACTATAGTGTCCCTTTAAATTGTATAAACAGTTTGAAATAAGCAAATCTTATACTTTATTTACTTATTTGGCGTTTCCAAACCCACCTTTAACCTGCACACTTCCACAGGAAAGCTAATCCAAGTGTTCACTTTCAGCAGTACTGGACTAGGGAGCAACTCCATTGGATGTTTGAATGACTGCCACTGGAGGTGTTACTAGCCAGCAATGTAAACACTGCCTTTACTGTGAAAAGATTTTCTCTGAAAAGGCAGTGTTTACATTGCTCAGCATGCAGGGACAGCCTGGCTTTTGACACTAAAAAATACTACATTAAGCTGTAGTGATTATGGTGACAACAGTGTCCCCTTAACTAGCACTATTTGACTTGTTACCACCTTAAAAGACCACTCTAGGCACCCAGACCACTTCAGCTTAATGAAGTGGTCTGGGTGCCAGGTCCCTCTAGGATTAACCCCTTTTTTATAAACATAGCAGTTTCAGAGAAACTGCTATGTTTATAAATGGGTTAATCCAGCCTCCAAATCCTCTAGTGGCTGTCTCATTGACAGCCGCTAGAGGCGCTTGCGTGCTTCTCACTGTGAAAATCACAGTGAGAACATAGCGTCATAGGAAAGCATTATAAATGCTTTCCTATGAGACTGGCTGAATGCGCGCGCAGCTCCTGCCGCGCATGCGCATTCAGCCGAAGAGGAGGATCGGAGGCGGAAAGGAGGAGGAGAGCTCCCCGCCCGGCGCTGTAAAAAAGGTAAGTTTAACCCCTTTCCTCTCCCCAGAGCCCGGCGGGAGGGGGACCCTGAGGCTGGGGGCACGTCAGGGCACTATAGTGCCAGGAAAACAAGTATGTTTTCCTGGCACTATAGTGGTCCTTTAACTAGACCAATGTTGATCTCTCAGCCACTTTAAATAACAAAGATACAAAACTTACCAAAACCTAAGGTATAAAACTATTAATTTATATTAAGGGTTTCAAAGTCAGTATTTACGGTGCATAATTTCACCTGGCAATATATTATTCTGAAAACCTAAGGTTTCTGCAGTCCTCATGGTCTGAAACCTTTGTAACTTTATATGTATTCATATGCTGCTCTTTTTTGTACTTTCATCAAGGATTCTTTGGTACCATCTTTTTGTTGCTGTAGAATAAAACTTTATCAGTATTAAGAATTAAGACAAATAATTCAAACAAGATGTTAGCTGCATTTCTGTCAAATGTTCAGTCCACTAAAAACAAACCATTGTGATATAGGTAAAATGTCTATCCATAAGTCAATTATTGTAAGACTTGAACCATTGCTCTGTATATTATAAGATTTGTATCAGTTTAAGATAAGTGTAGTGATCTTAATTCAACACATAAAATAATCTAGACTATAAAACTGAAAAAAAGGATTTTAAACAGTTTAGGGCTCAACAGTAATTCAATTACTGCTAATAGGGTAGTTTGTTCTGATTTAACAGCAACTTGTTTTTCATGCTAAAAAAAACAAGAGCCACTGCGAGTATTAGAGTGTTCATCAAATGCGAAGCCCATACAAAAGAAATTCACATGAATATTGTCAATCCCAAAACAGTAAAAATTTTGAGTTGTAACTATCTAGCATACTGAAAATGCATCTGGTTCCCTCAGCCAAAATGGTTTGGGACAGTTTTAAGGATTGTATGCCAATATGTTCTCATTAATACAGATATAATGTGTTTTTTTCCCCCAAGCCTTCTCATAATACTTCACGTTACTCTATTCTGGTTTGTAATTCATGCTCTTAACCGAAATGGCATATATCCCTCATTCTGCATTGCTGCCCTCAATTACCTTTGCTGTCACATTGATGCATTTAGTCATTTGATGTTATTCGAGTCTGTTATACCCTGGCCGTTTCCCAGAGCTCTGCTGGGCACATGTAATTTAATAGTAAGTGTCTACAGTTTTATGGTGGTATGATGGGCAGCTGTTTTCTCTGTGATTTTGATGGGGCACTCTTTTTGTTATAGTTACAAACCCTTCCATGAGAAACTCCATCAGGTTTAAAATTGCTGCCCAATCCAAGATCCAACTGGCTTTGTGGGTCATATGTTTTTACTTCATGTGGTCTACTCACTTGAGGTGTCTCACGTTACTTTTAATTTTCCATCTACAGATGATGACAACATCTCATCATGTCATTCATAAAGTAATTTAACGCTTGCATGCTGATAAGTATGAAATTATAAATAACCATCTGCAATATCTGCCCATTCCAGATGCGATCAGACAAAGTAAAAATCAAACGTTGTTAAAATTTGTGGGAAAACTGGCATAATTTCTTAATACAAACATTTTGTTTGTTGGGGAACAAACAAAAATAGAGGCTCTGACTATTTGTTTCTCTAAAACATTTAATTTAATTTAAGACTCCTAGATTAAACGTTGAAGATAAGTCAATGGTTGACACTTGCCCCAGTTCACATGTCACACTTGAGTTATCAAATGTGATTGTTGGCCAGAATTCAATTGTCTCTCGTTGACATGGCCAATTCCATCTAGGAGTTCTGCTTTAGAATTGGTGCATATGTTCTTAAATTTGTCCAATATGGGGCTTCTCTCCTTCGATTTGGGTTTTGGCGTGTGGGGTGGTCCATTCGGGCATGAACCGACATGGTTATATTGACCAATGTCTGAGCACTCTGTTTCACGATGGTAGAAATAGCTAAAGTTAGATACAATGACTGGTACAGGCAAAGAAATGGTTAACACACCTGCAATGGCGCAAAGAGAACCAACTAGTTTCCCACCTACTGTTTCTGGTGACATGTCTCCGTAGCCTACAGTTGTCATTGTAACCACAGCCCACCAAAATGCCTCAGGGATGCTGGTAAATTTTGTTTCTGCATGATCGGCTTCAGCAAAATAGACTGAACTTGAGAATAGAATAACTCCGATGAAAAGGAAAAATATGAGCAAACCTAACTCTCTCATACTTGCTTTCAACGTCTGACCCAAGATTTGTAAACCCTTGGAGTGTCGGGAGAGCTTGAAGATCCGGAAAACTCTGACCAAACGGATTACCCTGAGGATGGCCAATGACATGGCTGGTTGCCCAACTCCTTTGTGTCGTGCTAGTTCAGTGCCCAAGGCAACAAAATAAGGTATGATTGCCACAAAGTCTATCATATTCATGATGTCCTTGAAGAAGGCTGGCTTGCTCGGGCACGCTATGAATCGTACTGAAAGCTCAAAGGAAAACCAGCATATACAGATGGTCTCCACAATAAAAAACGGGTCCTCAAATGGGCTCTTCTGTGGTATGTTGTGCGTCACGTTACTTCGGTGATGTGGCTGTACCTGTAATAAAAATAATAATAAAGAATGATAATAAACAACAATACCATGACCTCACTGCAGAAGCCTTGTGATTTAAATGATCTGTAGATCTATCTCAAGTTCTATCCCAAGTTAAATAAAAATAATGTCAAATTATGCTTCATTCCTTAAATATATTACGCATGTTATTTTTCTAGACAGGAAACTCTTCCACATTCTTGAAATCACCATGTGATGCAACATTTGTAATTTAACCAGTCTACAGAAAAGAACAATAGCAGAAAATCTTGTCTTATACTTTTCGTATTAACGTAAAAGAACATCCTTAGATTTGTTTGACCACACCAATTAGCGTTTATTAATTGGACTTTAGATGCAAGAATTCTAAATACAGTCAAGTTTATTTCAAGAATGTAATAATCACCAAGGGAATGCAATTCACTGCCAAATGGACAGATATAGAAGTTAATATTTTTGTTTAATTGATTATAAATTATTTGCATTCTAGACCATCAAATTCTGAAGAGGCATAAGTTTTGATGTAAATAAATACAATATATGTTTTTTAGTCCATTCCAAGAAAACTTAATTCACTTCCCTCATCAAGAAAATTGGTTATTCCCCTTGACTCAGTTCAGTCTAAATTTGTAAATTACTTTTAATGAAGACACTAATGGGATAGGAAACTATTCTTCTACCCCACTCACTAAACGCTCAGCACTTTCATCTTCTACCATAAACTTGTTTCCCAGGGTTATTGAAATGTAGTCCTTCTGTCCTCTTGACTCACCACTGATTCCATGAAAGCCATCTCATCCTAACTTATGAAATCTCCTCTCTACACTCGTGTTGCATCTATACCTAATGTCCGTACTCTTTCTCTCCAAAAATATCTTTATACTTTATGTAAAACCTGCAATAATTTGCTCCATAATAAAAAAGGCTGTCTCTGACACCTTAGTCCCTTTTGTCTCCAAGATTTTTCAATGGGTTATTTTTGCTCACCTGACTGTCTTAGTTGAAATCTCCTACTTAATCCTGTTTGATCTGGTGTCACTCCCGGCATCACAGGAATGTATCTCACCAATGTCATAAATTATTTATTTACTGCTTTATACAATTCCATTTCTACCACTTTTGACAGTTTTATAGCAACATAAGGTTTAATGTTCATAGAGAAACAAATAATAATAATAATAATTATATATATATATATATATATATATATATTCAATTAGACATTACAGATACAGATTCTTTGAATGTTAAAACATTTTGAAACTGTCTTAGTATTCTCATTGCAATTCAATGTATTGTGGTAGGCACAATCATGTTAGTGGGTGTTACATTTGCTGTAAGACATACCTCTCCTGCATATCTCTGTTTGGGAAGCACGGACTTGCTACCCATAACAGGTTAAAAGTACCCAACAGTTTGTTTGCTTTGTGTAAATAAAACTTGGCTTTTCTCTCTCTCCATTCTCAGATTGCCTCTTCTTAGCTGCAATAATTAATTCTGTCTTTTTTCTTAATGCTGCTCTCACACAGTGCCTGCCCCTCCTCCCTACTTCCCCTTGCAGGTATAGCTTTCCCTTGGGCCTATGTCAACAAGGAGGAAGACCCAGAGTTGGGTTTCCCTAATAACAGACATGCAGAGCACAGACTTCTTATATCTGTGCAGACTGGCACACACAGAGTGAAATGACTGACAGCAAGGGGAAACGGCTGTTTTTTAACCCCTGATTTTAGAGAAATCTATACATCTATACACATAGACAGTGTATAGATGAAATGTGATTATCTGTCATTTCAGATTAAATTGTATTTGTCATGACAGGTATCCTTTAATCACAAAACATAAAATTGTAAAGAATTGCAATACCAAATTGCAAAATGTGGGCTAAAATAAAAATAGCCAGTCGCTTTTTCAAATCAGTTTTTTGGAATTGATTTTGAATTCAGTACAATTCACTGTTTATTGTAGAAGCCATTTGCCTCTGCAATGCTGTCCCAATATCTAGTATTCCATATTAGAGAAAAAAAGAATGTGGGAAAAATGATAGCATAGCAAATTGTGATACAAAGAAAACAAAATGAAAGGAGTACTAAACAAAAACAAACAAAAACATTATATAAAAAATGTACTAAGTCACAATGAAAATAGCTGTGAAAAAAAGTGGATACAATGAGGATAGAAGATATTTGTAAAAAAAATAATACATTAGGATGTACATGCTGATAACAATGTAATCAAGGTTCTAATAACTGTTTTACATATACAAAGTAATAAGAAAATATGGAGTGATTTACAGAATACTGTATGACTTCTGCTTTCTGATCCTTGAAGATGACAGTCATAAATTAAAGGTGAGTTATCTAGAATTTAGTACATTTAGTAAATTTCTGATTTTAAAAATTGGAAGGACTTTGCAAGTCAGCTATGATGTTTAATTCGGCTATTTTGCCCTAAAATTTAAAATTAACTTTACTTTCCTGATAATTTTTGTGAATAACCTTGCTAATCTTCAGCAATTTATTTTCCTACTCTGTGCATAAAGAAGAATTGATATGCTGCAATTTCATAAACTGCTCTGGGCATTATGGAATCCCTCAGTGCACACTTCTGGGTTGTAGATAAATAGATCAACACTAGGTGGCGATAACATACTCAGCTGGTCAACACTGCAGCATCCATTGCTATTTAGACACATGCGCTAATGATTATTTGTCAGCTAATACTATTTTCTCAAATGTACCAATAAAATTTAATTCCACTCCTTGTTATTATGTATTATCAGTATGTTTATTATTATTATTATTATAATGTATGTATATAGATATTTGAAAAATCCAATGAAAATATTTGAAATAAAATTGAACTCAATTTACATTACAGGATTAGTACATACAAATCTCACTTGTAGTGGCGATATAAGCAAGCAAGTTGGGGGATTTCACTCGTGCAAAAAAACTAAAACAAAAAACAATCCTAAAACCTTGACACAATGTTGTTTGCAGATCTTTAACCCATTAAGGACACATGGCATGTGTGACATGTCATGACTCCCTTTTATTCCAGAAGTTTGGTCCTTAAGGGGTTAAAGAGACACTATAGTCAAAAGAACAACTACAGCTTAATGTAGTTGTTCTGGTGAGTATAATCATTGCCTTCAGGCATTTTCATGTAAACACTACCTTTTCAGAGAAAATGCAGTGTTTACATTGCCCCTAGGGACACCTCCAAGTGGCCACTCCTTAGATGGCCACTAGAGGTGCTTCCTGGCTCAGTGCTGCACAGTAGGCAGCTCTGCCTTTCAGCGTCTCCACGCTCTGCATGGAGACACTGAATTTTCCTCAGAGAGATGCATTGATTCAATACTTACCAGAGATCAGGTCTCATTCGTAAATTAACTTTTTAATTTTGCCCCATCCAAGGATTTTGATAAGTTTGACGTATTTATTGACTCTAGGTTTATGAAGAAAGTTATCCTTAAAGATGTATTTTTCGGAGTAATCTCATAGGTGATAATAAAAAGAAGTTATGGAAATTTTGACTTATGGGTCTTAAAAGGGGTCCACTTTTTATCCTGAGCATCTTGTTATAGGCCCTATGGAGGCGTTTAATACAATGACCTTTGTATTTGGAGACCATAAGAAGAACCTAGGAAGAATCTAAACCCCCAAGAGAAGAGAGAATGGCGCTAAAAGAGCTGAGAAGCAATAGAGATATTGTGCTAAGCAGCAGATAAGGAGGATTGTTTTAATGTCGAGGAATTATTATTTATCACATGCTAATAGACAATTACAGGACCAAACAAGTTATACTAGTCTCAGCTATAATCCAACAGTGAGAATGTTGAAAGAGTTGAAGTAGTATTTCAATAAGGCTAAATATAGGAAATTTAAGAATATAGGAGTTTGAGTTTTTCAATAGAAAAAAATATGTATAATTTTACTTGCTACCAAGAATCCATCAGAATTCTGAGAAAACCCCAAAAAGACCAATGATATTGGACACATGCTATCTGCTTAGTAATGATTCACAATATATCGATAGAATATTACAGCTCGATGTGGAGAAGACTTCAGTTGATCCTAAAGACACAATGTATATATTAAATGAGATTCAGTGGGGTAAAGAGATATTAGTTACTAGTAATGTAAGCACTTTGTATACATCTATATAATACCATAAGGGTACTTTAAGCATGCAGGGCAATACTGGAAGAAGCAGCAATTTTACACCAGGAGCAAATACATTTTTTGATAGAGAGGACTATTGATTTTTAGAAATAATGTTTTTTTTTTATTTGAGAATAATTCTTACCTTTATATGTCTGGGAATGCTATGGGGACAAGGTTTGCACCCAGCTAGGTCAATCTGTTTATGGCACAGTGGGACCAACAATATGTAAGGAACCCACATGGCTGGAGTGAAAACCTCATCACTTGTAGGAGATACATAGGCAATTTATTTATTTTTTTTTATATGAAAAGGGAGTGAGG